ATATATATTATATATATTTATTCAACTATATATATATATATATTATATATTTATTCAACTATATATATATATTTGTCAGCTGTATATATATATATATAACTATGTAAATAAAAATAGATTTGTCATCCAATAAATAATACTAACATCGCGACGAGCTTTCCGCTGCAGCGCGTCTTGAATCGCCTCCTCCCGCAGCTTGGCCTCTTCCCACTTGGCCCGCATTTCCATCTTGCGCTTGTGTTGGACCTATCGACATATAAATCACCATCCATAGATAGATTCGACCAGTAGTAGGTTACCATCTCGGCGCGCTGGCCCTTGGACTGGGACTTGGACAAGATTTGGCTCTGTCGGTTGACCTCCGAGTCGCGCATACGCTGAGCCACCCGGGCCCTCTCCATGTTCTTTGCATGTTCGTCCTCCAGCCGCCGCTGCCGCTGCGCGTCCTTCTGCTGCGTCCGGATTTGCAGCCGCAGCTCAGCGTCGCGCTCGGCCTCAAGCAACCGCTCCCGGCGGTCAGTCTCGAGCTGCTTGTGGTGTTCTCGAATTGCGATTTCCGCTTCCTAATACAAGAATCACCGATGAAAGGTATCATAATTGTAAAGATCGTCAGTCAAGCGGGCATCCGGTGGACTTTTCATATCCGGATGGTCATTTCGAATTCATGTGCGCATAGTGTATACTACGTAGTATAACGTTATTGTGGATTCGGTACAAATTTCCAGACCGAATCACGCCGCCGAATCGAATCACGAATCAACAATACTAGTATTGGTTCAGTGGATTTGATTGGCTCTTACGGAAAGGACAAGTATATTCAACCAATCAGAACTCCAGCGTGATTCAATATTGATTAGACAAACCACGCGAATGTTGGAAGTTAGTTCATAGCGAAATATCACAATATGATACATTGCGATAGTGTAATACGAAAACGAACACTCCTCTATCTCGTTTGGCTAACTAAAGAGGGAATAAAGGTTCCACTGACCTTTCGCTCGGCATCGACTCTGGCCTGGTCTTGCCGCCTCACCGCGAGCTCTGCTTCCAGTCGAAGGCGCCGGGCTTCGCTGTCGGCCTGGCGCTGCATATACGCGTCCCGCCGCATTTGACTCAATCGATCCTTGTCATGCAGGACATGCACGATGCGCTGCTTGTTCCTCTGGGTCCTTTCCATCATCTCGATCATTTTCTCGTGTCGCCGGCGGTCCAGTTTATCCTTCCGCGCCTTGTCCCGGCGTGCCATGTCGTCCATTCGTTTTAGCGCCTAGAGGATGGATTCCACACGAACATGAACAACCACGTTTGTACTTTTCAAACTCGACGTGGTCAGTCGTTCGTGCGTTGTTTCAACCTACTTGAGCCTCCAACTCGTGCAAAATGCTCTGCGTTTGCTGCTTGTGCTCGTCGGCCTTTTGCACACGATCGCGCTCTCGCTGCACCAACTCTGCCTTCCACGCAAGCTTGGCCTGGTCGTCGAGCTCTTTTCGTTGTTTCGCTTCGGCGTAGTCTGCCAACGCCGCCGTCCGCGCCGCCGCCACTTCGTCCCATTGTTTTTGGCGCTAGAGTATATATATACAATATGTCCATGAGATGATGGTGGTCGTGTGACCCTTGGACATTTTTGATTGATACGCACCTTGTCGAGCTCGCGCTGACGCCGCGCGGCCTCAGCCTCCCGCAGCCGCCTTGCCTTGTCCCGCTCCGCTGCATCTTCTTGCCGCTTGCGCTCGGCCATCTCGTCGGCCTGCTTTGCACTCAATTCGGCCTGTTTGATTTCCCAGTTGATCATTTGGTGCATCTCAGCCAGCTGCCGCGCTTGGATCTTCTCGAGGCGGCGGCGTTCGGTTTCGACAACCGTGCTGTCGATGTCGTTGCCTGTCGCCGTAGTGGGTTTGCCGGATGGAGACCGAGGGGGGCTTCTTCGCCCTTTGGTCGGGGACGATCTTGGTCGTGTGGGAAGGTGATAGTCCACGACGGACGAGGCCGCCGATTGGTCGAGGTGTTGGCGTTGACGAGCCACGCGCACTTGGTCAAGCAACGTCACCCGGCGTTGCTCAAAGCGCTCGGCCCGCTTCATGGTGAAACTCAGGTCTTCTTTGGGGGACGCAAACGACGCCACCGTTCGCGGCATCAACTCGTCCGGCGTGATGCCGACCGCATAGCAAGCCTGCAATACAATACAATACAATTGAGCCAGCTTTTCATAATCGAGCGGTTGAAATATCACCTCAATGGAGCGGGGACTGGTGAGCGGCTTGGTGCCATCGAAGTCGTCGATGGTCACGTCGTGGTGTGCGTTCGAGCACCCTTCGTCGACATATGCCGCGGGCATCGCCGCCACGTGCAAGTCCAATTAAAGCGCAACCAACCTAAATATAGCCGACACTTACTTTTATCAACGACTGGATCTACTATATGACAAGGGTAGGTCGGATGGCTTGGAATGCAATGGCAACTGACGATTACTACTACATACCTTTACAACTAGTATGATGAACGACATGTAGGATGCCGTCGTTGAACAGTGATTCGTTTATTACCATTTCAAGATGCAACATACATTACATTACGAGTTTGAGGCTGTTGCGGGGTTATTAATAGCTGGGCAGCAGCATTTTTGTATGTCATCATGCCCCGTGACGTAGCGACTCCCGTCATGCCTCTCCTTCCCCTGGAGGAATCGTCCGTGACATTGGCATCCGTGACCGAATTGGTTAAAGTCAGTGTAGACGACCCCCCTCCTCCCCCCCGACAGGTTGTAATCAACCATGCGCTGATTAGGACATGCAAAAAGAGCACGACGCCCAATTGGCCAAAGAACGCGAACTGATCGTGCACCAAGTGCTCCAGTCGCTCGAAACCAAGGGCCTCTTGCGCCGGAAAAAACCATCTACCCGCCATCATCACCACAAACACCCGACCAAGCTCGACACCCGACTGCAAGCCCTCGTCCGCCACTCCCTCACCGACAGCGGCCTTGACTACCCCCATGTGATTCCCTCCCAAAACACGACCGTGTCTTCTTCGCTCGTGCGGCCACTGGTGTTAGAACGCAAGGACACGACGGATGAACCCATGGAAGCTAGACGCGTGTCGGCGCGACAAGGTAGCACACAGGGGGACTCCCGACCACAACGACGTGTAGATGCGGCACTGCCACCCGCGACAGCAGCAGACCCACCCAACCAAGTGGTGCCGTGCGCCGAGAAATCGATTCTGACGAGGTCCAAGAGGTCGTCGAAAATGAGCAAAAAAACGTGGGTGATGCTGGAACAGAGCAAGAAATTGCTCCAAGCCACGAAAACCAGCGGGTACAAGCCCGGCGTGATTGCTCCGAAACCCCATTTGGACCAGATCCTGGCCCACAACGAACAACGACCAAACGATGGTGAAATGTCAAACCATGACGACGAACAATATGCGATTCCCCCCCCACTGCCACCTGCTTCTTGTACGCCATTTTCTCCAACAGTTTCCCCCCATATGTTCTCGATATTATCTGATTGAGGTATTATCTTGCATTAGGTAGTACTCCCGTGGGTACTTGTGAACTGGACGAGAATTGTAGTGCTGCCGTGGCCAAAAACGACGCACAAGCAGCTCCAGCGTCGTACCAACTGTCGCTGCTGGAGCCGTTTCCGACCAGTGGGGCCGCAGAAAACACGGACAAAGCATGGGAAAACGAGCTCGCGCGGCAGATTCTGTCCTTGTATGCTACGAGCATGACCTCCAAGCAGCACCAGAAACAGCAACAATCAAGCCAACAAAGCAGCACATCGCCACCACCTTCATCGCCGACCAAATCCGACGAACAGCGGCGGCGACGGCGGCATAAGCAGCTCCCGTCGCTCGGTGACGTGGCAGAGCGCAAGAAGCGCATTCAGCATGTCCAAGACTCGTGGCAGCCCAGTCACGTGGATGAAAACGGCAAAGTCGTGCTGTGCATGCCTAAAATCCCCAAACCCATTTGGTTTGCAGGTAAAAAAGACCTTCCGTTGGTTTCCCCCGTCGTGGCCATAGTGTGGCCTGGTCTCGTGTACTATATATATATTCACAATCGTGTGTGTGGGTTTGGGGTAGGAACGGGCATTGTGATGGCGACGTGGTGCGCGTTGGTGGTGCCGCTGACAGAAGCCAAACTGTCTCCGTACGCAGACGACTTGGACGGCGCATCGATGCTGTGCCGCCACAGACTGTGCCATGAGTTGCGGCACCTCGAGCAAAATTTGGAGCTTGAGCAGTACTTGGCCGTGGTGGAGACGTTGCTCATGTCGCGTGTACGCGCCAAACAGCAGCATCAGCAGGACAAAGTTCTGGACGAACTGGACGTGAAACTGTGGAAGCAACTTGTGATTACAGGTAAAATGGGGCTGCAAAAGTGACCTGCCTTTGCAAATGTCAAGAGATGGAGGATTATAAGTAAATCCTAGCTAACGCGTTTGCAAGCCGAGCAGTGGACTTGAAGAAATTTCCGCTCGCGTTGTCTTTGGTCCAAAAGGTACGAGGTTTTTTCACGTGGATTTCTACATATAAACGACTGACTGTATTATCATATACTGTGAATGTAGACGGAATCGATCTTGGACGACGCCAGCTGTTTGTCAGCAACGCGACTCGAGTTGCTCGCGTACATTGCGGACACATATGCCTACTATTACTACAGTCGAAGCAAGGCCAGTGCGGTACGTACGCTCGTTCGTTCATACTCGACCGAGTTTTACCGAGTTTCGCGGTGGTTGTACCGATATTTCTTGGTTCTAAGTGGGGTTTTGTTGTTTTTTAGGCGATGACGTACATTTCCAAAGCCCACGTTGTGCACTCGAAGCATGGCGAGTGGTCGCATCTGGCCAAGTGCAAACTGCATATGGCAACTTTGCTGTCCAGATTAGACCAGCACCCCGAGGCGGTTCTGCAGCTGCAGCTCATTCTGGCGTTGGTGGAAGAGGCCAAGCTCGAAGAAGATGGCGGCGGTGGCGCGTCGGCCCAGAAACTGTGTCTCGTGGCTGTGTGCTACAACAATTTGGCCCTAGAACAGCTACACTTGAAGGACGTCGACGGTGCTGCCACGTCAACGCAGAACGCCCGGCGATTGGCCCGACTGTGTCTGAGCTACAGCAATCGATGGCTCGCGCAGTTTGAAAACACGCACAAAGCTGTGATTCGAGCTATGGCGACCCTCCTGGGCGACCAACGAGACCTGGACATGGAGTTGGTTATGAAATACGACATTGAAGCATAATATATTGTCCTTTTACCCAAAATTTGGACTCTTGTGCTGAATCGCCAAATCTATCGATGGATTCTTTGACTGAATTTTGTACTTACTGTAGTACGTACGTACTATACGTAAAATGATGTCCTGTGGTGATTAGAATCACACTAATTCAAGACACACACTAATTCGATTTGGATATGGCCTCCTGCAATCTGATTGGCTCAGTTTTTCTGCCGATTCGTCTGTACATTGTGTCGATTCCTTCTCCATGTCGCTCCAGTTTTGATGAACAGTTCTGCACAACAGCAAAAAACGTACGAACAAGTACTGTACTTTACTGTTCCGAGTATAGTACAGTATTCGTACTGTACTCGCGGCATGAGTTCAGCAATGATGTTATCAATGAACTCAACTTGCACTACTGTAGCGTTTGTGTATAATTGTGCGGCCACGGTCTTCCATGCATAGTGCATGTGCTCAATACTGTATGTTGTTTACTACCAGTAGAACCAACCCACCACAACGAGCAACGTTTCAACCTGAAACAATAGATACGCGCAAGAATATTTAGTATTCAGTACACCGTTTAGGGGGGTGGGTACTATTTGAAGGCGGTGGTTTTCGGAGACAACGTGTCGGTGGCGCTGCCGCTGCCTGCCGACGTGTACGACTGCACTGTGTATCGGTCGTCTTCTTCTGAGATCATGGTTCGTTCGAGCCTGGGGCACCGGTTGTTGCGCGACAAGGAAGTCGAAGGCGCCGCCTGCGGTGGCTTTTGGTTCTGGTGGTGGTGGCGGGGGATATACATCATCATTTCCGACTTCTGCAATAGCTCGTCGTCTAAGGCGTCGTCCTCGGACGATGACGACGGCGGCGCGTGGCACTCGCCGCCCGCCACGTCGTTGGCATGGCACAACCTGCACGTGCGAAGCTTCACTAGACCGGCCCCTGGTAGCTGCGCTAACGAAAACGTCGAGCACTCGCTGCAAATGATGTCGCCGCATCGACGGCAATGGTGCTTGCCCAACGTCAGAAAGAACTTCTTGGTGCATATGATACAGTGGGTGCGACGACTGCTGTCTACCCATTCATCCTTGGCCTTGATGTCACTGAGGTGGTACATGAGCTTCGTTGCCGATGTCATGGTGCTTGCTGGATCGAGGCTAAACGTGGCTCTGGTGGTGTGCTGACGCGCCGACAGAACCATGCGCGTGTAACGACTGCATCTCGAGTTCCAGGTGGCGCCAACGTCTCAACCCTGTCGAAACAACCAGTCAAATTAGCTTGCTTGAATACAAGCGTATCGTAACGCTACTAAGTTTCCAGTGGAATTCTCGTGGCGGTATTGATACTAATCCTAATACTTGAAGTACTATACTACTGGAGTACGTAGTAGAATGCTAGTAATACTAGTACTAATACTACATAGGATAAATAGTACAGTAGTACTTCACAGTCAGTAGTACAGTGCAGTACTACAATATGACTACTGGTAGTACATTGAGGTAAATTGTACAGTGCAGGTACTAGTTGTAGAGTGCAGGTACTAGTTGTACAGTGCAGGTATAACACTGTAAGTACTGTAGTACTAGTATACTCGTTCCAGTAAATGTAGTACAGTACCGAAAAGTACAGTAGTACACATTATTTACGCTGATTCTAACTACAGTACAGTACTGTACTTCGAAGTGCAAAGACAAATCAGAGCCGGTTCGGCCTCCAAAGTAGAATTATTCCTGCGATTTTGGAATTTGCAAGTAACTTAGCTGGTCTGCGAACATTCCCGTCCACGCAATACGACTCCTGATTGGCTAAAACGTGAATTTTTCCGGATAACACAACCTCAAAACTGAGTGGAAGCAGGGATGATTCGTCCCTGCTTTAGAGTGTTTGTCGATAGAAATTAAGAAATATTTTTGATATATTTTCAAACTCCTCGAAAATAGTTCGGATAACATCCCTGCCTGTAAAGCATGGATGGTTTTTCACAGACCAGCCCCTAACTTGAACGAAGGAATTCCGAAGCGGCGTCAAAATATTGCGTTGGCCGCAAGTTGAGCATCATGTGGGTGGTGGACAAGTCCACGAACAGTGCAATTCCCTCATTAAAACTGTCTCACTGTTGTTTTTCTCATAAAACACTGCAATTTGAGTGTTTATATGGAACTTTGTATGCTCGGACCTCCTCACCTCTTACAAGGGGTTAAGTGCATCTCAGTGGTTAGCGATAGCTAACCACCAGCAATGCAGTTAACCCCGGCGATTTAGCATCGGATGTACTCGCTGGTGATACGACGGAGTAGGGCTACGGATGAAAAGGTATATCCGGATGGGATAATTCCCTCATTGAAACAGTATTTCGGTCAAACAACAGTGGAACTGCTTTAATGACAGAATTATTCCCAAGAACTCCATTTCCCCTCGCAAATGACCAAGCTGATTGGGATTGGACGTACAGCGAATCCAAAGGTAATACTACCTCCAGACGGAAATAGAAGTCCCTTTTCATTCTTAGAGGTTTTTTCAGAATTAACCGGAATTAATTATTTTATAGAGTCTATTTATATGTATCCGGATACGAGTCACGATTTTATACTGATTATATTATAGACCTGCATTAATTTATATTCGGTACAAAACATAGTTTAAATTGTTGCTGACGATTTGTTCATGCAGGTAGAATGCATGCAAACCACAAACATTCATAGAGTAGAACCGCCTTATCCATTAGGGTATTCATGTTTAAGGTATTATATTCCACAGGGATACGGATCATACAAAGACCTTTACAACAAGCATACTTAGGGCAAAAACAGATAACATCATCAAACAAATCACCAATTTTATTAATTTTCACCAAAAGGGACTTCTATTTCCGTCTGGAGGTAGTATGTGGTTGGAATTGATTTCATCCGCCCACGATGCTGCTTAATGGGCTGCCAGCACTGTTTACACGTAGTTGTTGTCAGCTACAATCGGCCTACGACGAGTCGACCACAATAGCACCTCCGCAACACACACAACCAAGCAACATAGTAGAGCCTCCTGATGGACTCGGGTATTCATAGTTATTCAAACATCGTAGTGGTGGTCCCTTCGTTTGGGCGGATGCCGCCACACGGGCGATGGCGCGCTGCTACTACTACTAACGTTACTACTACTTTTATGGCACTCCAGTGAAATGTCCGAGTCGGCGGTCGTGCGGGCGTCGCAGTCGTCGAGAAGCGACTTTTCAGCCTTCACGTTGGCTCGCACCAAGACCTGTTGGTTGGGGCTGAACAGCATCATTTCCGTCTTTCGGATGAGCTCGGCTTCGGCCTCTTCGTCTTCCGAACTCGACCTGGACAAAACCAGCAACGACTGGTCTTGGAGGTCCCTGGCAAAGCACATCTTGCACACGCGAACTTTGGTGCGACCGATGGCCGGTAGCTCCGTAGCTTCGAAGCGCGTGCAGTCGCTGCAAAACACTTCGCCGCACCGTCGGCAATGGTGCTTTCCGCCAAGGAAGAACCGCTTGGCGCATAACACGCACACGCTGCGCAGTTTGTTCTGCACCCACGCTTGGCGCGAGATCAAGTGCTCCATTCGATACAGGATCATTTGATTCGGGGGGGGGGCTGTAGCCGCCGCCATGGCTTGCTGTGCCTGTCTGTTAGGTATCGGGAATGAAGAGAATGAAGCTGTGCGTAGCGGCTGACGTTACAGTAAATGGTGGGATAGCTTGTGGGTCGTTGTAATGTGGGTGCACGGGCTTGTCCCAACCCACCCCCTGCTGCTGTTCCACACGGAGTGTCACGAATGTACTTTTATTAACGGTACAGTAGTACGTAGTAGAGCGTAGCAGTTCATGGAATTCAACTTGACGTCACATGCTTTCCCATGGGTCTACATGGTACTGAGACTAAGCTTAATTTCCTGAAAGCAACAGTTCGACTGTTTCTTACGTAATCACCATTGCACCTGAAATGAACCAGTAGCCCTGTAACTTCGGAGCCCCTTGTGTTGCTATTCCAGGGGTTAACACTGTAATTTGCATCGCCACTAGCTATCGCAACCACTGAAAGGCACGGCACCCCTACAGTTCCTGGAAAATGTTGGTTTGGTTTACACTGCATTTGACTATCACATAGTAAGAACAAGTGACATGATTACGGAGGCAACAGTGGCTCCACGAATTACTGTCATAGTAGTACTGATCCCGTACAGTACCGGTATTGTAAAAATGAAACCTGGAGACTATACAGTACAGTACCTTTACCCTAGTACAATCATGCCATCTTCAAGGTTGGCATGAGTACCTGAACGAGCTAAACTCTATTTTTATAGTGCATTTGGCCATAAGAACCTTGAGTTGGCGTCGGAGAACTTTGTCCTGCTTGAGTGTGGCAGATCGCATAAGTTAGCCACACACATTTCAAAGGTTACTGCTACTTTAGTACTACTATTAATAGTACTAGTATAACTCAACGTAATGTCGTGGGGATGGGTAAAGTGGGTGTGGTTGCACTGCATCTCTCGGTGTGATCGGATGATTCACGAACATTGCACCCCAGCCATCGATCGATATACGTATACATGTACCAGTATGTAAAAACGAGGAATTCCCTGGCAGGTGGTAGTTACTGCACAACCCACAGATACACTGTAAGACTCCATTCTACACATAATGAAGACCGTAGCCCTGTATGTAGCTAGGGACTCCGTCCTAATCCCGGTGGGCACATGTACGTACATTTAATGTTATTTCCGGGTTTAAGTTGCATCTCAGTACCCGGTAGTTAGCGATAGCTAACTACTTAACCCCGTGCTTAGGCATTCCACTATACTAGAGTACTTACCTACCAGTAGTACTAGTATCCGTTAAAACCTCGATCACAAACCAACACCCAAAATGATCACGGTGCTGCGTCCAGACTCTTGGGTGCCACGTTACTGCCCAATGCAGTAGGATTCGTTGTTGCGTACTACTAGTAGTAGTATACTATAATAGTACTATTAATACTATTATAGTTATTAATATTAATAGTACTGGGTCCACATAATACATGTATTTATATTAATGGGATGAATACCGTTAAGAGTCACGCCAGTTAACATGTACCATTGTCGTTAGAATCCCCCTCCCAACTACTGTACTACTTACTACTACGTAGTCGTAGAATTATCAAGGTGTGCTACTCGCGATCGACGCCGTGGACGACGCAGAGGTCTGTCGGTTGTCGCCTTCTATGAGGGACTTCTTCAACTCGATCCGCTCCATGACGGCTCGACTGGGGCTGAGCAGCATCAGTTCACACTTCTTCATGAGCTCTTCTTCCGCTTCTTCGTCCTCGGACGAGGACCGGTCGGACAAGAACATGGCGGCAGGCATGGCTTCGTCACGCACGCGGCAGCTGTGGCACACGCGAACTTTGGTGCGTCCAACGATGGGGAGGTGGGCGGCAACGAACGGCGCGCATGAGCTGCACACGACGTCTCCGCATCGGCGGCAGTGGTGCTTGCCTCCACCAAGGAAGAATTTCTTGGTGCATACGATGCAGTGCTGCCTGGCGCTGTCCGGCACCCACTCGCGCCTGCTCTTGAAGTGCTCGAGGCCATACATGGTCTTTCGTGCTGGGTTTGTCGGCGCTACAGGAATCATTGCAAACTGTAATACCTTGCTTGGAAAAACATGAAACAGTCGGGGCTTGGCATGTCACATGGCAACGTCCGGAGCGTCGATGGTTGGTTCGGTGCCAGAAATGTAACCGAGCGTACAAGAAATAGTGTGAATTAGCCCCTCCAATCCATCGATATGCTATAGTTGCATTAGTTTCCAAACATCTTTGCAGCATATAGTACATGGAATGACCATTCGTAACTTAGTATGATATTGTACTGTAATTGCAACTCGGAGAATGGGCAGATTGAGTGTGCATGGTGTAACGGGCTAGTTTAACTGAAGTGGTTAGTTCCAGTGCTCTCTTGGGACGGACATACGAGGCAAAGGAAATGCCTTATGTGCTTGGCTTTTGACTACATTATTGCTACTATCTATCAACCACCGCTTCTAAAGATGTGAATAACTAATGTTGGCTATATTCACTGGCAGTTACAACAAATATAAGCACTCCAGAGGTATCCGTCTTTTCAGCCCATTATCCGGATGCTGCTTGTCAACCAAACGGCATTTTGCGAGCACAAGTGCCAGTTAAGATATGGGTGAGTGGGCAGCATCTGTGTACGAGTACACGATTGGCCGCTTCCTTGCTTTGAGCGCGGAAGGCGTGGGACCGCCGGCATCACCATACACCCTTCCGCCGCTCTTGTCGGCGGAGGCAAACCGTACGCACCTGCTGGACATGTTGTGCATGTGTCGCCAGTTCAAGACCCCGACTTCGCACATGGCTGCGCAGTTGAACGCAACGCAGTGCGAGAGCGTCCAGTTTGCGGACCGATGGGTCATCTCCACGGACATATCGCATGTGAAGTCGGCCCATGTGCATGTCCAAGGTTCGGAGATTATCCTCGGCGGGCTGCATGTTCTCGTGTTTCATTCCAAGGCATCCTCGCCATCCTCGTCGACGGTGATTGCCTTTCGCCATCAAGAAGGCGAGTCTCTTCTAGACAATGACATGTGGGAAGCCATGGTACATGTCCCGATCCTCATCTTCGCATGCTGAGTTCTTCGGCGTAGGCACTGTATGGCCGCAACTATGTGCAGATGGAAGCGGGGCCGTCCCCCCTGACGTTGTTGGACTACACGACTCGAGCCATTCAAGCACTTCTGTTTGGTGTACGAACCCCTCTATCCCTTTTTGAGCTTGAATTTCGATTGAAAAAACAAATATCTATCTTTTATATATATATCTTACGTTATACATTGAACATTTTTTTTGTTATGTATATTCTATTACACCAGAGAAACATATAATAACATATTACAAATAGAAGGATAATAAGTACTTTTTCGAATGATTTACCAAAACACGTTGTTTGTAATAATAATAGGCTCGACATGCAGTGGAGATGGACTACTTTACGTTGGCCAAGGCGTTGGTGGGCGAGCTCGTGCCAGGTGGAGACTCGGTGACGTTCACAGGGTACTTGTGTATAATATATATATATATCCCAGAAACTTGGTGAGAACGCCCCAAACTGGAGTGTATACGTACAGGTATTCGATGGGCGGCGCGCTGGCGCAATTGATGGCCATTGAATCAAACTCCAAGGCGGTAGTGTTTGCTTCTAATGGCGTGCTCGACGTCCTCAGTCAGTACCACGTGAACCCAGCCGTCGTGGCCAACCTACCGACTTCGCACTTGGTCAATATCATGCATCCCCAGGATGAAGTGCCCAAGCTGGACTGCCAAATCGGAACGCTATTTCTGCACAACGACGTAAGCCACGACCACCTCCACGAGTCGTTTGTGTATGGGGATTTGGCGTGGAACCAACTTGTGCACACACCATACTCGTCTCATGTCGAGCACGGCCGCGTATGGAGCCAGACCCACGGCATTTGCATCGACAACGATCTGAACGACCCCATGGCGTTCGCAGTCGACTCGGTGGCGCAGAGCTCATCCAGCCAGGCGCTGGCGACGCTGGTTGGTGGTGGCCTGGTCTTGGTGGCTTTTAAGATGCTGGCTCGATGGTGCAAGTAGACGATGTGATCTTACTGTCGTAGGCTCTGGGTGGGTGTCCATTGGATAATATATATATATATATCGTTTCAAGGAGGGTGGGTGATGAGGCTAGTTGGATATAACTTTACGAGGAGGCTGTCGTTGTCGTCGTAATACTATAAAGACTTGCACATTAAATATTAATACGTACCATCCCTAGATACTATGGGTAATATCATAGAATTGCTGAATTAAAGCCGTGGATGACGACATTGGGATGACATTGTGGGATGAAACCTGACGTAGTGATCAAGCTTTACGTTGGCCCCGAGCATTTTTGTCGTTATAATTTATAGTACTACTAGTAGTCTATATGGAGGTAGACTTGTACTACTAGTCTATGGAGGTAGGTGCCAGACGAGCGTTGTGTGAGACAGAATACAGCTAATTTATGCCATTCTATATGGAGTTAGACTAGTACTACTAGAATACAGCTAACTTTTGCCATGCCAATTATACTATACTATGGTGTTTTATAACGGGATGATTGGAATATTCATGAACTCACCAAACATAACTACAGTACCTGTAAACTACTCGTCTTAAAGCTCTTGAGCATTACGATGAAATACAGACGACGACGGAATTTAAGAAGCATATGTGCTTCGAATTATTTACGAAGTAGATATATGATTGGACAAGATTCTTCGAAATTCGGTGCAATTTGACGAGAATTAGTCTTATGGCCAATCAGAATGTCCTTATATCGAATATCTGTTTTTGATCGGACAAAACCCGCTTCCATATGATTGAAACTTCGATGTCTGTAAATCAACACCTCCCTTGAACGGCAACAACCATATTATTATTGTAGTGAATGGTTTAATCATCATAGATATAATTCACGACCTTTTTCTACTTCTTTTAGTGTATTTTTTTTAGTAAAACACACTCCACGTGCGGTGGTGGTTGGGGAGGTGGTCCTTGGCATTCTCGCCAATCTGCCACAGCAGCCAGTCCAGCTCGATCACTTTAATCCGATGGCCTTTGGCTGTGAGCACCGCGTGCAGTTGCTCCACAGCTTGGATTGTACATGCTCGGATTTCTACTTCCATCTACCGTTCATGATATAAAAAATATTACATAAAACATGGCAGATTTATATATATATATATATATTTATACCAGATTGCCCGATGGAATCGGCGTCTTGGCCTGAATCAGCGCATCCAACGCCAGCGAATACTGCAACACCCCTTCCGGACGCAACACTTGGGGCACTCGGTAGTCCGCTACAATATAATCGAATGAATATATATATATATATATATATATATATAGGCAAAAATATTACTACCCAATCCTGGTCATATTTATATATAGGGTCATATCCAGTGTTGCTGGGATTATATTTAAAAAATATATACATCGTGTCGCAACAACTATCCAAAGATATTATTTCCAACATCATCCAGTAGTACACTACGATGTACTACCCAAAGTTGCCAAGTAAGTATATATGGTTGTGGAAATCATTCACAAATCTAGCCAAGCAGTATGATTGGCTAAAACACTTGCATTTTCTGCATGCTGATTGGCTCCAACTCATGCAGTTTCAAACAAACCTCTTACACTCAATTTTAGATTATATTTCACAGGTCATCCACCGGGTTCCTATGACTCGAAACACAATATACTGTTCGAATCAAACCTCTTACACTCAATTTTATATCATATTTCACAGGTCATCCACCGGTCGAAACACAATATACTGTTCGAAACAAACCTCTTACACTCAATTTTATATCATATTTCACAGGTCATCCAGTGGTCGAAACACAATATATACACAACAGCATGATATATTTAGACTGTGAGGTCATTTCCGTACATACCAAACATAGTAAGGCGGTCAATATCGTAAAAGCCACCGATGACATGGGTACTGGGGTCGGCTACGTCGACGATGCTGCGGCCATACGCAGCCCAGACATCGCCGACTAAGATCTGCACTCGTTTGTATAGAAACACTTGGTCACCGTTGTACACTGTGTGGTCTTGGAAGCCTAAGTTGAACAACACAGCACCCGACATTCAAATCAGACCACTTTGAAGACATACAGGGATTACCGGGGAAATGCGCTAGCACGAGCCGTAAGCACTCGACGGCCGAGAAGTTACTCGCGCGGATGACATTCAACGCCCACCCGTCAAAGTACCTGGCTAAGCCGGCGCCCAATTCGCGGACTTTTCGCACCTGGGAGTGAAAAATATGGTGAAAACCCCTCGAAATACGCGAAAAAAGGGTGAAAATCGATGCAAAAATATTGTGAAAAACCCTCGAAATACGCGAAAAAAGGGTGAAAATCAGGCAAATATCGAAAATGGTCGTACCCGCTCGTCGAGCTGAGGGGGTGTAAACGGGGCGAACCAGGACGCGACGGTGTCTTTTGTGACGGTGGCGAGTTGGGCTGCATGGAACGCCGTGGGGTCCTGGAGAAGCGCGTGCTTCAACCCTCGGGCCAAATGCTCGTACTCCATGCTGCGTTCCATGGAGGTAAGAATGAGCGTTTGAGAAGGGAGTACGCGTGACCGCCATGACTGACGTACTCGGGAGTCGGCCAAAAGCAAAAGTTGAGCGCGTCTAGCACAAACACGTATTGACACGTCAATGGCCCTCCGTCCTTGGCGTCGGCAAAGTAATGGACGTCGCCGAAATCCCATGCGATCTGGTCGTGGATCGAGTCCTTTTGGCCAAGATACACGCGTTCCTACAGGTCAAACGTGTGCGAACGGACCTATGCATATGTTCGTCGTCGTTGTACCAACTTGTCGGCCAGGGCCAACACGCTATCCTTGTGGATTGTCACGTGCTCGGCTTGGGAGACGACTCTACACCGTAGCCATGATGTCTCCTGCGGCTACGATTCCATAGCGATGGACAAGCATCATCTCGTACCGCGCGGTCGAGTCGCGGACTGATGCTGTCGGATCCATGGTCAAAATACGATTTTGGTCTAGGGATATTGAACCCTATCTATGAAATACCCTACAGAAAAGATTCTACGGTGGACAGGTGGATCTGTAGGTACATTTGAATGTACGTGTAATGTACGTTCGGATTACCTTGTTATTTATAGGGGTCGTACATTGTGAATGTACTGTACGATACCGTACATCATATGTACGTTTGGAAATAACGCTTCCCTGAAACTTCAGATTTGGGGGCCAATTGCCGCTACGATGTCTCGCGAGCTCTTGTCCGAGGCCACCAGCATCCATGAGGGCCCCGTGCCGGGATACCTTCTGGACCAGATCTCTCGTGCGTAGACATGGAAGCATGTTGGAGCCATCGACGTCCTCATGTCTGTTGGGGATGTGTAGGTCAATTGGGGGCGAACGACGGCACCCCCGCCGACAAGATCGCCGACTTCTTGCTCAACCGTATGGGCAAAAGCAACATGAACGTCAAGTTGAAAGCGATGCAAGTCATCAACGTACGTCGTCGTCTTCTCGTTCCATCGCCATCTTGTGTGAACATATGGGTGGGGGTTGTATAGCATTGCTTGAAGTGTGGCGACGCGGCGTTCAACCACCACATACGACAGGACGAGCCCACGATCCGCGCCCTTTCCAGTACGATACCTCCAATAGTCTGTTGTTCATGACGAGTGTAGATTTCCAAGGCACGGCCGATCCAGCCTACGGAGACGAAAAGAACCGACGGGTTCGCATGGCGGCGCTGGAAATGCTAAACTACCTCGGCGTCCCGGCTAGCTTCAACAAGGACGGAGGTCCAGGGACGTTCATGCCCCAGCCGTTTACGACCAGCCCACCTGCCAACACGAACTCGTGGGGAAATAACCCTGCCGCCCACTCGTCGCAACGGGGAAATGTCCCACCGTCGGCCCCCCATCCTTCCCAAAACGGGCAGTTTAGGAACCCAGGAGCCTCCAATGGTCCGTGGGGAAGTTCCCCCGCTACGTCCGCCCCGCGATCTCCACCGGCGCCCTATCGCGATACCCCGCCCAACGCTCCATCTTATGGACACAACCCTCAGCCTCCTTCTCAATATGGACACAACCCGCCATCTCAATATAGACACAACCAACAGCCAGCCCAACCAGGTCCGCCGCAATATGGGAATTCTTCCCACGAATCGTCCTGGCGGGGAAGTACTACTAGTAGTAGTACTACAGGTGCTACTAGTGGTCCTAGTAAGAATGCTCCTGGTGGCGTCTGGAGCAGCAGCGGCTACGAGAAAAAGGAGCCCACCGCACAAGGTAAATATGTACCTATTTCATCCGACTAGCATCTTGTGTGTGGTATATACTACTAGTATGGGAAATAATCCCCATCTTGTGTGTTTGGACGAGGATATTTCCTTTGAAAGAATCCCCATCTTGAATGTTGATGAGGATATTTCCTTAGAAATGATTCCCAGTCGGTGGAACAGTGCGCGCGACAACCGGCCGACGGTTCTGATTGGTCCAAAGACTTCGCTCTTTGGCGCGGCCAGGCCCATGCCACCCGTGGTCGGCAACATGCAGCATCAGACAAGCAGCAGCAGCGGGGGCTTTGGCTCGTTCGTTCCACCGCCCGCACCTCCGTCCTCCTCGTCGTTTGGAGGTCCTTCGGCCGGACATCGCGGCGGCGGCATCAGTGGACTGTCTCAGCCCGTGTCAGATCGACCGAAAAGTTCCATCGAGCAGACTCTGGACGACGTCAAACGCAAAGGATTCATGCTCAAGTACGTTTTTGTTGTCTATCCTGACCGATATACATATATGTGTTGAAAGCAAAATATTTATATTATATGTGTTCAAAGCAATACATATATATTATATATATGTGCTGAAAGCAATATATATATTATATATGTGTTGAAAGCAATATATATATTATATATATATATATGTGTGTTTTTGTTGTATATCCTGACCGATATATATATGTGTGTTGAAAGCAATATATATATAAATTATATGTGTTGAAATCAAAATATTTATATTATATGTGTTGAAGGCAATACATATATATTATATATATGTGCTGAAAGCAATATATATATGTGTGTCTGTGGATTGGTTTCAATATGTTTTGATTTTGATTCCATTAGTGCAATGTGGAGCTTTATACAAAAGTATAAATATATATATATTGGGCTTGCAGCCAAACTTTGGGTTTGTATGCTGATATTTATCCAATCCATTGATCGATCGTCTGTATGTACTGAATTGTGTGTGTAAACAACGAGCGAATTTGATTGGTCAGTTGATTCATGTTGTGGATTTTGATTGGTCGATCAATTGTCTACCGATTTCATTTTCGAATCGAACTCACAATATATACAGTGATTTCAAGAGACAATATATATATATATATATATATATATATTGATGGATATGATAGGGACATGTGGGACCGACGCAACATGGATCGGTCGATGGCGTCATCATTGGCCGAGCATGATGATTACGTAAACCGCAACGCCACACTCGATTCGCGGGGTCAGACGTACCAGCCACAGCCCACGACTGGCAGCTCCGACAAGAGCGGGTACGTTCTTATTATCATATATATATATATTCTATCGCTTCAGCTATATTCTTGACTGACAACAACCAACCAACCACGACCAGCCACAACAGCAGGACCAGTAGTAGTCTTATACTCCCGGGGGTGGTGTACCTAGACTCTTCTTTTGACTGGTAGCTGCCCACACTAGACGGTGACTCATATAAAACCGTCGATGTTTGTGTAGGGAGTACGAGCGCAGTCTTATCGACGACCTATGTCCCCCTGGAGGTCTCGCCAGAGCGCCGCCTGCAGAAAACCTGGCGCGCTTTTTGGAGTTAGCCAAGTCGTTGGACATGACCATCTTGGGCGATTTGCTGCTCGATAAGCTTGAAGACGACAGCTGGCAAGTCCGACTCAAGGGCCTCTGCGTGTGGGAAGCGCTGCTCGAAGCCCCCGGGTGTGCGCACTATGCCGACTGGCTGCACGAAAACGTCGACTTGCTCCAGCATGTAAGTACTACTAGTAGTAATACTAGTAGTAGTAGTAGGCGTACGATGAAGGGTGTGTGTAGGTGGGGCAAGATCCAAAGGCGGCCGTGGCGACCAAAGCCAAGCGCGTGCTCCAACTCGTCGGCGCCGAGATGTCGACGCCACCGGTCCAGAAGAATCAGACTCAGGTGGACTTGCTGGCGATGCATGACCTGAATTTGCAGTCACCGCCATTCCAACCGCAGAATCAGAATCAGACGCATGCCCCCCCACCAGAGGTACGAAATGGGATGACAGGAGGATTTGATGGTTGTGCATATATGTAGTGGAGATTGGTCATCACACTAATTCAAGTCAATCATACACTAATTCGATGGTGGTGGTGATAATTTCCTGAAATCGGATTGGCTAAATACTACTTGTGTGTGTACATTTGTGTCGATCTACCTAAATGAGTGTCGCTCCAGTTTAGAATAATCACACAACAATTCTAAGTAATCACACTAATTCAAGTCAATCATACACTAATTCGATGATGGTGGTGATAATTTCCTGAAATCGGATTGGCTAAATACTACAACTTGTGTGTGTACATTTGTGTCGATTTACCTAAATGAGTCTCCATGCCGCTCCAGTTAGAATAATCATAACATTAATACTATTATGGTGTAGAATTTGCTCGACTTGACGTTTTCCCCAGTGCAAAGTGTTACTGCGACGACGGATGTGCCCCTGCTGCTGCTGTCCCCCACGGCCCCCCTACCGCCGGATGCATCGCGGCACTTGGGGGAGTTTGGCAAGGATTTGTTTACACTGGCCAACTCCCCACGGAACTCCCCTCAACCACCAGCCCCCCAACCTGAAAAGTCTGCGTTTTCGTTCATGTAACGAGGCCGAATCGACGCTGCAGAGACCACCAATCGACTACTTAGTGTATATATATAGATAGTATGGGCGGCCAGGGTTGCCGTCGGACAACGAGATTAATACTATTATGCACACGAAATAACCAACAATTTCTTTGGTTTACAGTTGTGTAGAATGAATACAGTAAGTAGGATTGTCCCAAATCGGCTGACAAGCGATCGACCAATCAAAACCCACAACATGAATCAAGTAGCCAATCAAACTTTGACAATAGTAGTATACTACTTCGAGGTAGTATACTATTAGTACGTACATATCATGGGCGACACTCGATCGATGGATTGCAGTATTCGACCGATCAACCCCAAACTAGAGTACAGTAGTAGGTAGTACTCCCTCCGTGTCACTATAAGTGCGCGACTCAGGAAAATAAAGTATACTCCTCGTATAAAAATACAAAACACTCCAATAACCTATAACGATCATGCATTTATAAAGGTGTAACGATACAATTGTCCAATCATAACAATCAAAATGCATGTTTCAGGACCAATCACGCGTCGTACCGTGGCCGGGTGGCAGTTGTACTTGGCTGCGAGTGTTTGACTGAGGCCATTGAGAAGCCTGACCAAGTAGCTGCCGTTGCTGTGTAGCAGCACTTCACGGAGTATGGCCTTGCGCTCGCTGTTCGTTAGGTTGCGCTTTTTGACGGTCATACCTGAATGTTTGTTTTATATAAAGTATTTTATTGATGTATTGAAATCATCACAGCGACTTCATTTCGTTGAATTTCCCGCTCGAAGTTGGAGCATAATGGTTTTGGCACTGGCTGTCGAATGGTTTTGGCACTGGCTTTCGAATGGTCCAATCAGAGCGACTACTTTTGAGCCCAAGAGGGCGATTTCGATTGTCAAAAATGTCTTGAGAATATAATGAGAAGTCATGTCAACCCTTCTCTAGGTCGCGCACTTGACACGGAGGGAGTACACATTTTGGCTAACAGTAACAGATCACTAACTATTGTGCTTTCGAGTGAAATTTCATTGTGTTGTGGCGTGGTTTCTCGATGGAATTTAAATCGATTTGATTGGCTATTTCAGATGAGCTCAAATTATTAGCCAATCAAAACCTTCTCAATGAAATTCAACAACCAATCAGATCGATTGTGGATCGGTTTCGTCGGCGCGATTCGATTGCACCCCCTCCCCAAATTTGTATCAAATCGACAATACTCCATACAATATATAATGTTGCAAACTATAAATAGTAAACCTACTATTAACAGCTGCTACTACTACTACTACTATTAATACTACTACGAAGTAGTTAGTACTTATTACTTGCAACAAATATCTGGACAGTTTGTTTACTGTACAAAACAAACGGAAAACTACTACCCAACATTTGGTTGACTTTTGGGCTGATAATTGCCAAATCCATCGATTACATATTTTTTGTGCTGAAATTTGTATGTGAAAAAACGAGTATGTCCATCACACTATTAAATATATCTCACATACACACTAATTAGCTGTTGAACGGAGTCGACACATTCGGCACGTTGGTCCAGTTTTGACATTCACTATTTGCAAACGTTACTTTCCGTACTACAAGACAGTACCAGAGATACTAGTCATAGTTAACACATGTCCAATGCTCATACTTCTATGTTCCGATACAGATGATCATCATATCACCGTTGGCTCGATTCCCATTTTGGCGCCACATACACTGGCACATGTTTGGCCGATGGAAGCGGCGCGTTGTCCAGGATGATATCGGCGGCCTTTTCGGCCATCATAATCACCGGCGCGTTCAGGTTGCCGCTGATGATGTTGGGCATGATGGATGCATCCACGACGCGCAGGCGGTCCACGCCGTGCACTTGGCACTTGGAGTTCACGACACTCGACCTCGTGTCGTGGCCCATGCGGTTCGTGCAGCTCGGATGGTACGCGCTTTCCGTGTGTTGGCGCACCTAACAATAACAACCCCATGGTCAGCAAAAATATATCGAAAAAAAAACGAAAAAAAGAGAAAAAAAAGTGGAAAATGAAAAAAAAAAACAAAACAACACGACCACTTCTTGCAACATGGAAAACACACGACAAAAAGATCGAAATAAAACCCCAATTCTCACCCAAGCGTCGATGGCCGAAGCTTCGTGGGCGGCAAACAACGTGGCGGGGGAGATGGGATGGCCTCGGAATGGATCCATCGCCTTTTGCTGAAATAATTCCTGGGCCAATAGCACGCCTTGTCGAATATCGTCCACGTCTTGCGTTGTACTAAGGTAGTTTGGGTCTAATCGAGGGGGATCGCGGGGGTTGCATGTCGTTAAAGCGAGGGACCCGCGGCTCGTGGCGCGCAGGGGGCTAATATGGGTTTGCATTGCATGTTGACTGCCGGGGGTGAGTTGGCCTGTGAGGGCCCCAGGGAGGAAGTGGAATTGCAGGTCGGGGTGCCGCAGCCCCGGGCGACTACAAGGCAGCAAAAACACGCAGTGAGGAAAATTCCCAACCCTCGACGAGCTTGCCTTCGGATAAATCCCCCCGATTCCAAATGCGCCGACGCGCCCATCCCCGTTTGCCGTACCATCCACTCGAGCCCAATCGCGGCCATCTTGTGGGGATATATCCTACCACAAACTTGCGTTCACAATCCAAAATCCCACGGGAAAATATATTTTCCCCTTGAACCATCCTTTGTATAGTAACCCCAGGAGGAAAATTTCCCCTTGAATCATATACTACTACAACGTATATATATAAATAAATCTACTGCTACGCATATATATATATATATATATAAACATATCTACTATTACGCATATATATAAATATATCTACTACTACGCATATATATATATATATATATAGCCGTACCAGGTCGCATTGTGCAACGTGATGGGTTTCGTTACTCCAAATTGAACGTACAAGTCCAGATGATCTTCCAAATTCTGGCCCACGGCGGGCAGGTCCTGCACGACTGGCACATCGACCGCCTTGAGCGCGTCGGCGGGACCAATGCCAGAAAGCAGCAGCAGCTGGGGGGAATTGATAGCTCCCCCGCACACAATGACCTACAACTACGTGGTCACAAAGGCCATGGATGGGACAAACCTCTTTGTCGGCCTGGTAAAACTCGACGTCGTGGGATTTACTGTGTCGGTTGGGCTGTACGTCGATGCCTTGCGCGGTGCCAGCGTCGTCGACCACCACCCGATGCACCAAGTGATCGGTCACAACGCTGAGCCGATCTTTCCGCTCGTGGAGCACGGGGTGGAGGTACGCTGCGGACGAGCTCCACCGAACGCCGTTGTGGATCGTGCTGTCCATGAACCCAAAGCCTTCCTGCTGAAACCCATTCATGTCGTCTGTGAACGGGTACCCGGCTTGCACGCCGGCGTCGATGAACGCTTGGAACAGCACTTGGTCGCGTTGAGACCCACGGGACACGTGGAGAGGACCGTCGCCGCCGCGGTACGTGTCGCCGCCCAAGGCATGCGATTGCGCTCGTTTGAAGTATGGAAGCACGTCGGCGTAGCTCCATCCCTTGGCGCCTGCCGCCTCCCAGTCGTCGTAGTCCTGCGCGTGGCCTCGGATGTACACCATCGCGTTCAACGACGAGGAGCCGCCGAGGACCCTTCCTCGAGGCCAGTCCAATCGCCGGTTATCCAAATGGACTTGGGGCACGGTTTTGTACGCCCAGTTGTATTTGTCATCGGCAAGGTTGAACGTGAGTGCGGCAGGCATCTTCATCTTCCAGGAATCCCATTTCCCTCGGTCGCTTGGCCCGGCTTCTACGAGCAGAACGCTGTTGGACTTGGATAGGCGGTTTGCCAAGACGCATCCTGCGGATCCCCCGCCCACGATGATGTAGTCTGCCCTCTTGGATGCTGCGCGATGGAGCCGACGGTGCATTGTTCGTACTGCAGGTCCAAGAATGACAACAACCTTGGTATGTCAGTTGTCCGGATAAAGATCTTGCCATTCAGGATACTTTTGGATACCAGTTTTTTGTAAGTTGTGTTTTACAGTTACATTTTGTAATCCCAGGAACCTGCACAACTCGATATGCGACATGTTGCATCTGTGACATTGTTTGGTTTTACAGTCTCTTATTTCCCATATCTCAGCCAATACATACTCCTTTTCGAATGAATATGAAATTTTGTACAGAACTGTACTCCAAAAACTCCACGGTTTTGACCTGTTCTATTAATACTGGTACTGTAAGCTAACTTTAAAGACCGTAAGAATGCCCTTTGAGATATACTCCAGAGTACCTCGAAGTACTACAGTACTCGACTTCAACCGAAAATGTATGTCAATATACCTAAAAACCCATCTTTTTGTTAATTAATGCGATTTTGGATAGTAGCAATTTATACAGGTTTGAGTACAGTAAGCCTTATCCGGCAGAATATAGATTATCCGGGTATGAGGAACTAACAAGTAAAGTATTGTGCTTTTCACATATTTTGGCTAATCTGGGTATAAATACCCGCTTTTAACCAGTGGGTGACGAAGTTTTAGATTAATTCAACTTAGTTTTAGCTAATCGGAAGTACCTATGATTGGATGAGCAAGAGCTGTTCCTGCAGCATATGTTGCTAACCTGAAGCGTTTGCCCATTTCATTTCGGCAAACGCGGGGGTTTACAGAGTGGATTAACTAATACACGCGAGTGTGATTCTTGACTATGCTCGATAAAGGTTGATGTTGAGTGCTTCTTGCTCGACTTGTCGTGCCAACGAGTTGCTAACAAGCTGGCTGCAAAGCTCGTGTGAGCTGGTGCACTGCGAGCTTACCCCAGTAGGTCATTACTCTGCATGACTGCTTGGCCACGGGAGTTAATAAAACGAAGTAGTTTTAGTAAAACAACGCAAGTTTTAGATCAGCCAATGACAGAACGATGGGGAAGCTTACTTTTACGTCGAGTGCAACTTCAGTTTAGATTAAACTTTGGATGGTTTTAGGAGCTAAAACAACGGGCAAAATATGTGAAAAGCACAATACATAACTCGTATCCAACTTTGCCTTCCACACTTTTGAACGGGATATGCATTGTCACAGGTTTTCGCCAACGATCTTGAAAAGGTGCGACCTTTCGCCACGACCACCCCGCGACGGTTGCCCATTCCAGATTTTTCTCGCCAACATGGTAAGCTTATCGCTGCTTCTCGCCGGCGTGGCCGCGACCGCAGCGTCTCAGGACCCCGCCTTTGCTGTCGACGTTCCAGAGCAACAGCCGGCTGACTTCTCGGTACCGTCGACGGAGCGCGCGTTCTGGGCCGAAACATTCCAAAACACGACCACGACCAAGCTGTTTGAAGGCACGACGTGGGTGAAGAGCGCTGGGAAGAAATACCGCGAGCAAAAGATCAGCGTGAAAAGAGGCAGCAAGTTGCTAGGCAAGTTCGCCGCAGACAAAGCGCTGGTGCTCGACAACAAGGCGCAGCACTACGGATTTGCCGCCAAGCTGCCCGAGCCGTTCTACTTGGACGGGTCCAAAGGCAAGAAGAGTCTGGTGGTACAGTACGAAGTCAAGTACCCTGAAGTGGTCAAGTGCGCCGGCACATACTTGAAGCTCCTTCGCGACTCGCCAACGTTGAACGTGACCGACTTGAACGACAAGACGCCGTTCACCATCATGTTTGGCCCAGACAAGTGTGACAAGAACAATAAAGTGCAGTTTATCTTCAACCACCGAAACCCCGTCACAAATATGTACGAAGAAAAGGCGCTCCAGATCTCGCCCGAGGTCAAAAACGACAAGCTCAGTCACGTGTACACGCTGGCCATCCACGACGACAACACGTTTGAAATGTACGCAGATTTGAACTTGATCAAGAACGGCAGCCTATACACGCTGTTCAAGCCGGCCGTGCTCTTGCCCAAGGAAATCGACGACCCCACAGACCTCAAGCCCACGACGTGGGAAGAGACTGAGTTCATTCCGGACCCCGCCGCTGTCAAACCGGCGGAGTGGGACGAGGACGCGCCGCGCACGATTCCGAATTTGAGCCTGCACCAGCCCCCCGACTGGGACGAAGCCGCCCGTGGTCCATGGCGGGTACGACAACTCGCTGTCCAACATCCTGTCATCTTGTCGATGCAATATACTTTGCAATTGGGGCAGATTTGTAGACTTTTTCGTGTCTTATATGGTTGGTTGCTTCATTTGTGATTCGAGTGAGGGAATAGGTGAACTTTGAGTACTCAGTCTAGTGCGTTCTCTAGGATTGTAGCAACCAATATGACGAATGCTAATTTCTCCAGCTAATTTCTCCAGATTATCCAGTGAATGTTGAGCCTTGAGTCGCATGTTTGGGAGAGTTCTATGAGCTTACAATAGTCGTTTCTTCCATAGCAACCAATGATGTCCAACCCAGAATACCGCGGCAAGTGGTCACCCCCTATGATTGAAAACCCCGATTATGTGGGGGAGTGGGAGCCCCGAAAGATTCCCAACCCAGACTACTTTGACGACCCTCACCCGGCCCGGATGGACCCTATCGGGTAAGCAATCTCGTGTATAAAAATACATTTTTAATTACGACAAAGCCACTGTTACCGTGTCTTGTGTTGTTTCAGGGCGGTGGCGTTGGAAGTGTGGTCCATGTCTGAAAACATCCGGCTCGACAACTTTTGGCTCGGCCACAACTTGAACGACGCCAAGAAATTCGCCCGCCTCACATGGCAGCTCAAACACGAAGCAGAGAAAAAAGCGGTGCAGATGGAACCCGAGCCCAAGAAACCGACGCCCCCCGAGTCCAAGAAGAAGGAGCCCAACGTGTTTGATCGCATCGACGAAGCCGTGGCGTGGGTCGTTAAGTACCCGCTGGTCGCCGGCCTCGGCGCGTTCTTCGTGTTCCTTGTGCTGCTCGGGTTCCGCGGCACCCCTCACCATGCCAGGTCAGCGTTCCCCATGTCCCCTGTGATTCAAGAAGTGCTCGATTTGGACAAGAACAAGGACACGTCACAAGTGCCCAGAGTGCCCGTGGATGGGACCGAGCTGCGCCATCGACCGGCGACTGCCACCACCACGACCCAACAAGCGTGATCGATACTGTATATGATGTGTTTGTCGTCGTCACTTGCGTTGATTACACTATAAATGTGTTAAGGATTCGACGGGTTCTACCTTGAAACCGATACAAGGTCTGGTGTGACGTTAGTGGCGTTGGAGTGGTTTCGGCACATCTATATCTAGTTACTTTGAATTCTTTGTTTTCATAGCCATTAGCGTAGCGTAGCTTACCCACTTGGTCCAATCTACGCGATAACAATCGACTTGAATTGGAAGCCCTTGGCCATGGTGGTTCAAGGTCTGTACAGTACCAGACTGTGGTGTCATTCTGTCGTACTTACTACTACGTAGTACCTCGAAGTACATATTAATACTAGTAACTTACAGTAGCACTCCAGAGTATGTAAGTACATACACTACCTCTGTCCTGAAATGTTCGCTACAATGGCGAATCTTGAAGTTCCACAACGATTGCTACAAGTGTATCACTGTGTATCCATTGCGTCGATTAAATTTATTAAATACAAATCAAGTGATATTATTTTAAATATTATTGCGCCCCAGGATTTGCAAAATGTCAATGGCATCATCGTCGAAAACGTCTTGCACATCAAGATCCTTCAGCTGCGTATGAAATTCAATGAACCATGATGCGTGGCGACACGTCGGAACATGGGTCGAGCTTGTCGGTGAGATTGACGGCGGCACGTTTCCAAATAAGGCGCACGGTGCTTTATGACGATGCTTCTTGCCACGCCGAAGTTGGCAGCCTCGGCAGCAAATGCACCATGCGGGAGGGTTGATTGGTCATTGCCCAGTGTGAGAAGTTGCTGCAACACAGCAGTCCGGTCCGAATTCTTGGCGCGTGGACTGACATTCTTAGATATTTGTTCGGATAAACGAAGTATTATCCGGGAATCGGTCATCCGGATACGCTTGCACCGAATATCATATAGGATAAAGTATGGGATCTGTATTACTATTTCTCTCTTTGATTGGTTCAATTTTGGCTCGAAGCATCTTGATTGGTATACTCTGAAACCTCCTCTTCACATACATATTTCGTTTTAGATAATTCGACCGGTATCACGTTCATTTGTCAAAATATCTGATTGTAGCGAACATTAACAGAGGTAGTATTAAAATACGTAGTGTATGTACTTACTCTGGAGTGCTATTAAAATAGTACTATTAATACATAGTACTAGCTTTTAATAGCACTAGTAATACATAGTACTAGCTATTAATAGTACTATTAATACATAGTACTAGCTATTAATAGTACTATTAATATACTACGTAGTACTCGAAGTATACAGTATTGCGTATATTTATACTTTTGGTTTTCTGTACTCATTTCAGTACCTAAGAGCATCTCCACCGCGCCCAGTAAATTGGCCAACCAGCCTGAGTGGAAACCCGCGTTAATTTCGACTGTGAGGTATGCTTAGAGCATCTCCACCGCATTCCAGTAAATCGACACACCAACACTGTAAGAAAATGTCAGTGAAATCTGATCAAAACGGTATTGCTACAACGGTACCTCGAAAACAACTCCGGCATGCACATTGGACTAAATCAATATCAACATTTATTTTTCATTGGAAGAAAATATTTAACTAGTGGTCATTGGGTATTCCTGTCCAATTAGAGACTACTAGGAACAGGACTAGGCACACGCCCAACCATAACATGTTACCACTCTGATTCAGCACGGTGGTTTTGACTTGACCTATGTATGTACGCTCAAAATAATACTTGTATAAATTAATAAATACTTCTAACAGTACAGTACTTACCCCACATTTTGCACATGAGTCGGACGACGCAATGGCGACGAGTATGGAGTGCTCTATGTAAAGCGAGAAATTATTTGATTCCACTGAAAGACCTGTACTGTAGATCTACATGATTATATGTTATGACTGAGAGGTGCAACTTGTTGTAGTTCCGTAGGAGCTACCAGATCATGACGCAATACTCATGGACCAGGCGAAGTCCCAACGTCCGCATGACTTCATAGACCTTTAATCACACCCCGTAGGCTTGTAAAGGGTATCAAAAAGTGCAGGGAAGGGAGATGGAAGATTAGTGTATGACAATGCTGTCAAATTGATCGTCTGGAGGGTGGGTCTACTGGTAGGCGCTCAAAGCCCATATATTTCGAGGATTATGGAGGGTGTTTCAACTAGCCAATCAAAGTAGAGATCCCTACCTTTCGAATCCACCAATCATAAGCAAGGATCATGTAGATTTCAAAGAAATGCAGCCAATTAAAAGTTGAAGGTGACAACAGTAGTTGTAATCTACACTGCTACACTATTTCAATTCGTAACACCAATTGTATCAATTATGGTGTTAGTCATTTTAAATAGTGTAAGTGTGCACTTTGGTTCATCGTCGTGACATGGGCGCGGAAGGGTCGTTCGAAGTGTTTACGCCTGGCGAGATGGAGAAGGAGTACGAAGCGCGGGCGGGCAGTGGAGATTTGTCATTATGGAAAGCTCTCGAGAAAGGGTACACCAAGGTAGTGGACCAACTCATCCAGCCACCGCGAAAGCAGTACACACTTGGCAGTCTCGGGCCGTCGACGTTTTCGTTCGTAGTCGACTCAATGCCACAGACGACATTAACGCCCGTCTCACCTCGGCACCACGCCACTCGTGAGGACTTTGTTGTGGTCACACCGACCCACAGCTTGCACGGATCCTTCTGGTCTGTTGCGTCTTCTCGCGGGTTCTCCCATGTAAGCCATGCGCGTAATCTCATGCTTGTAGTCCTTGATGTTAGTTTACGTGTAGCCATCGCGTCGTCCATGTGTACTATTCCTTCACTCCAACATGGGCACTCGAGTGGACGCGCTAGCCATTCGAGACCACGTCCTCGCCGCGGGCTTCTCGTTAGCTTCGTTCGATTTCGGCGGCAGTGGACATTCCACTGGCACATACATCACAGGCGGAGTCCGAGAAGCCGTCGACGTTGGCTACGTGCTGGAGTTCCTTAAGGCGAACTATGACCTCCATCGGTTCTTCCTCTGGGGCCATAGCCTTGGCGCAGCTGCTGCCTTACTATACATGCAACAGCTCAACCTGTCCACAAGACCAGTGGCCCTGCCACCTGCTGCCACCATCCCTACAGGAGCAGAACTAGTCACTACTCGTACTAGTCCAACTACTACTACTACACTGCCGAGCTGCTCGACGTCGACACACGTGGCCACGACGAGCCACGAGCCACAGCCGCTAGTAATACTAGCCGCAGTGCTGGACTCTCCGTACACAACGTTCCAAGACATGACTGAGAGCATTGTCGAAACAGTGAAATCCAACGGCCTTCCCGCGCCCGCGGCACTTTTGCGGCTTGGCATGCGGATGGTCACAAAGTCCATTGAAAGTCGCGGTGGGTTTGTCGTGGCTCAGGTGCGTGCGTGGATGAGCATGCGCACTGGATATAACGACTGCTTCAGGTGAACCCCCTGGCCAGCAGCGCCGACTGCACCGCGCCAGCGCTGTTTTGCAACGGAAGTTTGGACCTGTATGTCAAGACCGGCGTGGCCAACCAGTTCATACACAAGTATGGCGGGCCATGCACGCGGCTGGGCTTTCGAGGCGACCACTACGGTCCCCGACCCGTAGAACTGCACGAGTTTGCTGTAGCGTTTCTACGTGAAACATTGGTGTAATAACTACGAGAAACATTATTGCATTCGATTTGTGGGGTTGGATGATTAGGGATGATGCTATTTCCTCTTGGATGGATCTGCCTTGCCTACTTCCGGCAAGTCCTTGCCAATCCAGCGGCCAGTGTGCGAAGGATTCATCTCGGCTCGAATGGACTGGACGAGCGATGCGTCTTGCTGGAGCTCCTCGGTAACGCACGCCGAGTAGTCCTTGTAGAGGTCCTGGCACCCGAGCTTGCCTTGGCTCTTGTTCTGCAGGAATACGTCGCGGTACCACACGTCAAAGCACTGGTCATACATAGCCTTCTTTTCCAGGCACGCGTTGGTCGCCGTCGACGTCGGCGCCTTCTGCTGTTCGCTCATGTTGAATATGATGAACGGATAAGGTCAGCCATATCCGGATACCAGTGTCATAGTCCGGATAAAACTATGTTTCCCGGATATTGCATGGCACACTGCCACCAGGATGGCGCAATACAAGGTAAGCACGATCGATGGTAACCCGATGAAGGATGACGACCAAACGACCTCAATAGGACAAGCCAGTGCGGTTCTATACAGGCAGCCTATGGAAGAAGCTGCGCGTGTACATTGTGGGGTGTGTGGGCCTGATTGTCATGGTCCAACTGTGGAGTTTGCGTCGCCGAGGTGGGAGCGCTGGCTTCAAAGGACGTGAACGGCGAGCCGACACCGCGACGACCTACGACGTGTTGGCGGACATTTTGCACTTGAATAACTTGAATGAAGTGTGCTTCCACGAGAAGGAAGCCGTGATCTCGTACGGGTACAACAGCACGGCCGTTGACGCGTCCTTGCTGCTCCATCCGTCCACCGACCACGCAGTCCTCATCCAGTTCCTGTCTCAATGCCCAGATGTGGACATCTACCTTCCACCTGGACTGCGCAATCACGGGTATTGCGAAGATGGTATGTACACACATATACAACGCATTCCATCGTGACCTTGTCCTGCCAGGGATGGTGTATGTGAAATTCCTTAAAGCGAGAGCGCTACCTCGTTGGGTGTTTGATATGGAGCTCCAGCACAAAGGTACGTACACGCTACGTCACAAATAGATCGTCTATTGCAACGGAATTACTCGTAGGCCAATCGCTGTCGTATTTTGACCTGTGTCCCCACACAGCACTGCTGTTTATGAACCATTACTTTGACGGAATTCCAGACCTCTCGACATTTCCACCGGTACAAACAACTTGGTCTAGGATGTTTCATTATATATATATATATATATATATATATTGCATGTCCATACATAAATACAAAAAAAATCTTGGTCTATGATGTTTCCTTGGAAAACAAATATTTGATTTTTATTATTATATATCTATATATTTTGCATATCGGCACATAAATCTCGTCGTTTACTCCCTAAAACTACTACGGATGTTTCGTTCGAAAAATATTCTTTGAAAACATTATTTATTCATATATATATATATATATATATATGCATGTCTATAGATAAATGTCGTCGTTGATACCCAAAGGGCCACTCTGGCTGCCACAAAAATGTCTGAAAACAATTTTTTTTGGAAGTATTTGTACAAATTTTCAATCGATCCATCATGGCATGCAGAGGTCTCACCTAAATATTTTATCACCTCTCATTTGAAAAAGGAATGCTCTGTCAAAGATTATTATTTAATATTATTTGGCATCAAGTGTTTTTTTCTGTCGAGACTCGGCCTAAAACGACTATTATTTTTTTAGCACAAGAAAATTGTGCTCATGCCAAATGTCGAAATGTACGAGCTCGAAGCATCCCATTACCGTCGCGTCGACTATGTTCTTGCTAAAACATTCGACGGGTTCCAGCGCATCACTGCGTGGTACGAAAGGGGGAAAATTCATTGAATATTTGCTATTTCTAGAGTATTTCAGGAACAGAATAGCGTTAATATGACTGGTAGGTATGCCCGAGAAGGCAACCCACGGCAGACCAAAGTGTTTTACACACAGCATGTATCGTCTGACCCGACCCAAGCCGCCCGCCATGCCCCAAATGTCCATATCGAGCCTCGAGATTTCTCCAACTTGCGCTTCTTCCACGCCAACGGCCACAGGTATTGATTGGCGTGTTATCCCAAAATGTGGACATTTATACAGATTCGCCAAATATATCGAGGTTGGGTAGTTTTGAATTATTGTGTTTGTATTAAAATATTAATCGATCGATTTTTGAAGTTTTTTTTGGAATATTCAAAGATTGTATTTTTTTCGATCGAGTTTGGATATTTTTGAATGATTGTTTTTTGTATTAAAATAAAAATCGATCAATTTTTGAAGTTTGGACTATTCAAAGCTTGTATTTGTTTGTCTTTGACTTTTTGACCAATTTGATCGAATGTTAGGCCGTCTACGTACGACGAGGTTGTGGGGGTGGCTAGAGAATTCGTTTTCACAGGGTTATAGGGTTTGACGGGGCTGCTCATTCAGTCGTCCACTCCAAATTCAAAATGTATGACAATAGTATGACTTCGCTAAATATAACTCCCATATCATTCGTGTGGTGTAACTATCATTCAATATAGAATCGTGGTGGAACTTTTGATTGGCTCAATTTTCTGGAAGAGCCGATCCACTCAAAATTGGATGAGCACATAGCGTCGATTCGACCGGGTCTGGCAATTTGTCCCGTATCCATCACAATACTATGTATCTATCTTTATAAATATCAAAATTACATTGGTTTCAAAGGATGCACTGTGTTCTTCTGTGTACTAATGGCGGGCAATGTTATATATATATATATAGAATTCTAGTGGTTTCCAAGGATGCATTTTGTTCTAGTGTATACTGTGTGTAGCACGGAGAAAATGACATACCAGTTGATCGAATGCTGGTCCCGCCGGCCAGATTTCCCCCGTTTGGACGTGTATTCGATGGACGAACGCAGTCGCGAAGCCTTCGACCGATTTTTCAAAGATAAACCCGCTGGCAACTTACGATACCACTGGGGTCAAGACGTGGACGTGGTCGAGTTTGGCCGACTCATGGCCCAAGTGCCCGTGATCTTGTGTCCCAGTGGCATGGAGGGGTACATATATAAATATATATATATGTATATATAAATATTTAAATATATATTATACCTATGGAATTTTACATGACATATATGATGCGAGTGATAACATCGTATCGAAGATGTATGAAAACGTTGTGACGTATGATTCTTGTGCTTTTTTAAATGTTTGTCCAACAATCGAAAATCCGTGCACTGATCACGAAGTGCTCCCATTGGTCCGCTCTGAAAGGACTCTTTTTTCTGATTGGCTACGTTCTGTTTTTATCTTTTTATTTGAAAGCCAATGTCTGATTGGCTCAATATTCCTCCGTATTTTCTCGAGTATATTGAATAGTGTGTCGTTGTTACATTCTCCGCGTCGCTCCAGTAATACCGTAATAGCACATATCTATCCTTTGTTTGGATCGCATTTTCTTTGTATCTGGACCGTTGTTGTTGACAACGTGTAGTATGTAAACATAAATATAATCATTATATTTGGAATTATTTTATATATTTCATTATCATAACTATATATATATATATCAAAGTTGGTTGTGAATATATATATATATATATATACTAAGAATGGGGGTAGATTCGGCCACTATATCAACCAAGCGCGCGCATCTGGCGCGCTCGTGGCCACGACAAACGCTGCTCCCATGAACGAACTCATCGATGCCGACTCGGGCGTGCTGATCGACGGCAACCTCTGGACTGCGGACGCGCCGTATGAGCGTTATATATACGTGCATGATGCAAAGTGATGTTGGTGTATATTTTTTCATAGAAAACAAGTGATGGCGCAAGGCTACCGCATTTTCCGCGAAGGGTTCTTTAGGGAAGGCATGGAGTACATGGTTCATCCAGAGAATATCTGTGCCGCCGTTGATTACATTATGTCGCTCACGCCGGCCCAGCGTGCCGAGAAGGCGCAAAATGGCCAGCGCCGGTACTTGGCCCAGTTTCAAACATTCCGCACCAACATGAACGCGTTTCGGAAACAGTTGCTCTTGGACGTCCACGGTGACATATAAGAAGTAGCGGACAAGAATTGAGTGGCTAAAATAAATACTATAGTTGTTTTCACCCAAATTTGGACTGGGCAGTTTATTTGAGAAATCGACTCAAAGCCCAAGTGAATACCATACAATGTATATATACCATACGCAAATTGAATATAAATAGTGCAACTGGGACAAATGGGCAAAAGCCTTGACTACCATTGGTTGGGAGTTAGGATTGAAGATATTTCATTGGCTAGTCGATTATCTGCGGTTTGGGCTGCCGCTATCCGATTGGACTACCCACTCCAACTTCGAATCGAATAGCTAGTATTAAGAGTAACGTTATATACCCTTTCGGAACATGTACATAGAGGACCAATCTTGAACAGGATGCTCCAAGACAAATCTGGAATAATGTTACATGTATCATTCCATACATAGTACACCACGTTTGTGTGTGTTGGAGTGCAAGTGTATACTTATATACACAGACAAAGCGCATGGAAAATGCAATCAAGCAGTTCATTCCGACAAAACCAATGTAAAATATACGAGCTCAGCCTGGCTTGGAGGTCGAGATCGAGGCAAAGTGAGTCCCACTTCAAAGTCGATTGAGAATGGCAGTTCCGATAAAAGGTCGGCAACCTTGTCGGCTTCCCTCGGGCAGTGGCTAATACAGTACTGCAGTGGGGCTGCGACGTAAGTGAACGAGCTTGGATATTGGATGTCCTTAGTAGTACCCCAAATGTACACATATGATCTCGATCGTAAAGTATTTCATGCACTTGTTGGGTTGTTGAACCGATGACAGTGACCGAAATCGTTCAGGTACAGTATGAACTCGTACGGGTATTTGTTGGACGTTGCCATGGTTATTTTTGCTCGGTCGTGTACAGGAAGTAGTACCGGTAGTTATTTCACACCTCTGAACTAAAGTAGGTACAAACATTCATACAACTTGTCTTCCAGTTAGTTAATTATTGCAAAATCCACACTTTTTAACCCGTAACCCTGTAACCAGGAAACCCCGACACCCCGTCCCTATCTCAAATGACCACAATTAAGCTTATTCCCTTAGCAAGACTTGAATGGCGTTGACTCGTGAATGTGTGTACCTACGCTGTAGTTCAGAGGTGTAATATACGTACTAGTACTATGTAGTAGTAACTAATACTAGTTAGTACAGGATGTCGCTGGGGCCATGATATAGGTAGGTTTTGTGTCGTTTTTTACTGCCAGTAAATCCTCGTACTTTGAAACGTTTACAAACGAGACAACGTTTCCTACTGCAAACATCAAGTACTGTAATTCAGTGCATTCTTATTATAACGTCCCGCAAACTAATACCAACATACTAAGGGTGCACCTAACAGACCAAAACCCAGGTCCATCCAGCAGCAGCCACCGCATGGCAAGAATCGAGTTGCTTAGCAACCATTCCCTCGATGCAAAGGAAATTGGGAAGGGGGGTTGCGTGAGGGCTAATAGGCGAAAGGAGTGAAAAGCCAAAATAAGCTCAAATCCATCCCTGGTCTTGGCGCCACACTATCTCTCGTCCACGTATTTTGAAGGGTTCCGTTGCCATGATCTAACCTGAACTTGAACAGAGTGCAATGTGACATCAACGTTACCCAGTTTTAACAACACAGTAGACACAACCAAAAGTCTATTCCCACAACAAGCACTTGTTGGACGGGTTGAAGTACGAGTCGGCGGGGCACTTAAACACTCGGGCAAAGTCGGCGTTGTTCTGCAACGCCCCTGTCACGCGGAACCGGCCGGGCGGGTGCGGGTCGGACAAGAGCGTCGTGAGGCGGGCGTCCGTGTTCTTGGAGCACCAACCTTGGGCAAACGACAGGTAGAACAACTTGTCGCCAGCTTCGTCCGTGTACTGGGACGGGAATTTCTTCAAGTACTCGTGGTATGCGCGGAAACTGGTCTTGAGGCCCCCGTTGTCGGCAATGGTTTCGCCCAACGTGAGTTTGCCGTTGACGTTGCCGAGCACAGCGCCAGTGACTTCGCTCTTGACGACAAACTTGGAGTATTGGTCGATGATGCACTGGGCCTTCGTCTTAAACGCGGCGCTGGTCACGTCCGACCACCACGGATTCAAGTTGCCGTCGCCGTCGTACTGGCGGCCGCTGTTATCAAACCCGTGGGTGATTTCGTGTCCGATGACCATCCCGATGGCCCCAAAGTTTTGGGCGGCGTCGAATTGGCCGTCAAAGAACGGGTTTTGCAAAATACCGGCAGGGAACACAATCTGGTTGACACTCGGGCTATAGTAAGCGTTCACCGTTTGAGGGGACATGCCAAACTGGCGCTTGTCCACGGGCTGGCCGTTCAGCTTCAAGTTGGTGTCGATGTTCACTTGAGATACCTTCCACCGGTTGTTCAAATACGCCTTCGAGTCCAACGTCAGAGTGGGGTACAGCTGCGGCTTCTCCGGGCCACCCAACAAGTGCACAAACTTGGACAGCTTGGTTTGTGCGTTGGCGCGGGTCGAGTTGTCCAACCAGTCTGCGGTGGCAATGCCAGTGGAGAAGGACGACTCCAAGGCCTTGACCAGTTCGTCGGCCGTCTTGGCTGTGTTAGCCGACCACACCGCGTCCAAGTAGTACTTGCCCAAGATTTCACCAACGGTGGCGTCCGTCTGGGCGGCGCAGAACTTTTCGCGCGAAGGCTCCGCCGTCTGCCCAGCCAGCTTCTTGCCAAACAACTTCCAGTTAACAGTGCGAAACTCTGGGGTCAAGTGGGTGGACGAGGCGTGGATGAGCTTGTACTCGACGATGGTGCGGAGGTCGTCCAGCGTCGTGTTCTTCAACAACACTTCGGTCTTGTCAAAGTAGGTCAAGTCGTAAAACCCGACCCAGTCGTTCGACCCACCGCACTGGTCGCGGACGTTGAAGCCGTTGGCCTTGAGCCACGAACCGATGAGCAGCGGGTACTTCTGGTCCAGTTGATAGTACGTGAACGCAGTGTACGGAGACACGGCGGCCTCCATCTCCTCTAGCTTGCTCAGGGTGACACCCGCCAGCGTTTGCTCGAAGCGGATGATCACCGGCACAGCCGCCGCCGCTTGGTCAGCAGTGTAGCCGGCTAGCTGCAACACCGACGCAATGTACACCTTGTAGTCGGCTTCGACGGCCGTCCACTTGGAAGGGGTGGTGTAGTACGAGCGAGATAGCGACAGGGGGGTTTGGAAACCAAAGAGGGCGTTCTTGGTCGCGTCGTTGTCGTCGCCACTGGCGTTAATGTCCACGAAGGCAGGGATGCCGTTCTGGGCCAACTGACCAGCCACGACGAGGAGATCCAACGTGGTGTTGGCCGACCGAATGGCTTTGAACGAGTCGGCCAATGGAGCCAGGCCGAGAGATGACAGCGTCGCCGTGTCCAAGCATGAGCTGTAGAACTCGGCCAGCTTGGGCTTGTTTTCAGACAAAATCTTCTTCAATACAGCTTCGTTTTGGATGGAGATCTTGGTGAACGACGTGTCGATATTGGTTCTGTCCGGGGGGATCACAGCATCCTTGTACCACGCGCCACATGCGTATTGGTAAAAGTCGTCGCAGGGGTTGGCGGAGTAGTCGATGAGCTTGGTCACAGACGCGGGGAGTTCCGTGACGGAGCCGGCCGTGGCGGCAGCCGCCATTGCGCTGAGGGAGACGAGGACTTTGACCATCGTAGAGCGAAAAGGAAAATGATAAACCAAAGGGATCGAAGGTCCTTTGATATCACAGTAGGGCTGAATAATAGGGGTGTGGGCGCCCGCCTCACGCGCCCATGTTGGTAACAACACAACTACAGTGGATTGTTGTTGGAGGCAACCAATCAGATCGTGAACAGGACACCGTTCATAGAACAGGAGGGGCGAAGTACACAACTGGACTAGTACTGACTGGCTTGTACATCTATAAGAACTGTGGCTTTACATGACCAAACAAACCCAAATGAGTACAAAAAATGCCGACGCGGTGCGAGTTCTGTCTTGTTGCGAAATGGCGGAGAAATAACCTGATGTTGTTGTGGCTTTGCATTGCTGGCGCAAATTAGGGTAGCTCGTTCATACCCCTCGTAAGGTTAGGTGAAGCTGGTCGAAACAGTGTCATTGAAATTCAGACCAGAATGTCAAGAAACATATGAATTTGATTCCATCTGAGTTGGATCGAAGCAGCGGGTGCAACACCACGGATTAGCCGTTGGCGAACATGACGTCACTTATGAATTTCCTCGGAATGACTTGTATGGCAATGAGGTACTATAAATAATAATTGAGGGTTATGGACGGAGTTTTTCGATACGAAGGTCGGATATAGATAGCCACACGACGTTAATTTGAAAATGAAATGTCATCACTGCCGCTAAAGCAGAATATTGTACCGGACTGTGTACAGTACGTGAAGCACAGTATATGGTCAGCATTGTAGCTTAACATGCGGAAGTGTTGCCTGGCACAACTGGATTTTTTAGAGGCTGTGTGAGGCGTGCAATAAAACGGGAATCTGTGGTATTAATCACGGTAATCTAACAGTAACGTTATGCCAAAGTGTAAAGCATCTACTAGTACAACTTGTGGTTGGAACAATTGCCATCTTGCGTGTGCTGGTTGGTCCTAGTACAGCATAACCAACAGAATCGTCGTTTCGGAAACCTTCGTGGTGCAGCAGTAAACTACTGTAAGTACTTACTACGTAGTACTACCGTAGTACAAGTGTGCTAAAATCGATGCAGAACAAACACCACCCAAATATCAGAATACTCGGATTACCAGTCACAAGTGTTTGAATGCAATCGTCAGTTTTACTGTGGTCAATTCAGAACTCGTTAATTCGGGAGCTCAGTTTCGTACCGAAAAATTCGGACCAGGGTATTAGCCAGTACTAGTAATCAATAATAGTTCCACTTTTCCTTACGTAATTAATGCACTTGTTCCTATTATAATGAAGTGTAAACCAACATAAAGTGCATTTCAGTAGTATTAGTTTGCGATAGCTGACTCACCACTGATAGTATACCGGTACGTATAGTTGTAACTTACTTGGCTAACACAGCATCACTTGGGGTCAGGGGGTTTCGAGGTCACAGGGTTATTGTATCCATTTAAGGGAAATGATTACTTGTAAGGAATAGTGGAAAACCCATATCTCCCTCAGCGCTGCCAATGCGCTGAGGATGACCCGTTCTTTGACGGCCAATTCGACGCCGCCCAGAACTTTGGGGCCATCGGGATGGTCATCGGACACGAAATCACCCAAGTAGGCCTACTTGCTTACCTCAACTTCGACCACTTCTTGTCGAGTGCTGCACTACCTTTAATGAGGTTAAGTCTAGGCGAATTTTACACTTTTCTTTATTTCAGTTCAACAACGTTAGTGGTATACACGGCGTTTGAAGAGTTGCTTGTACAAGGCTGGCGAGCACTATGTCGGCATCCAAAGCATTATCCATTCTACTCCGACGCCTTCAAAAAAGTAATCTTAACGTTAAGCTGGTTTTAACGTCTGAAGCTAGCTACGTTGCTTAGGGGTACGAGGTGGTGAAACCTGCCGTCGCCGAGGAACTTCACACTCGTAGCTACCGGTAATAATTTTCGAGTAGCGGCACGGGTGTCGATGTGGGGGAGGCAATGCCCACAGTTCCCTGGGGTCCGCTCGTGCCTTTGCAACACATCCACATGTCAAACGTGGCATATGTATATAGCGTTAGCTTACTCGCCCGTTGTGAACGAAGCCTAAACCGGCCACGTTTGGTGGAATTGTTTGATTCACGTTACGAAAAGGGAAGGTTGTCCGAGCCAACTTCTTTTCCTCTTTTCAGCACGTGTCGCAGTCACCCGAACAAAACTTGATCGGATATGTCTATATAACCACACGACACACGAATCCTATAAGAGATTTCTCGACTATATATGGAACTCGTACAAACGCAAACGAAGAGCGTTGAATGCAGTGGCGAGGGCACCGTACCAATTATAGATAATACTAGTATTTCAAAATGTCTTCCAATATTATTGGAGATTCTGTATGAATTTCCGGACCCCCCGTTCAATCGAATCTCGCCAAGCGAGTCGAGCACCAATCTCTCCCATTGGTCATTCCGACATTACTTGTCGCTGATTGACTACAATCCGGCGAAGTAGATAATGGCCAATCAGATATCTCGGCTCTATGTGTGCTCGATTGGGAAATTTGAAGAAAATCGACAATACTTTGTATTATTTACCGTACCGTATCAAGAAATTGTTGAACTTTTTTTTCGCAGAGTGTTGATGGATTGACCATCACTTGCAATGCGAAAGGCCACTGTAAAAAGATCTTGGGGTTCATTTGGCAATTTGATTCGAGCATCGATCTCGTACCGCGCATATCCATGGACACCGACCAGTCTCGCGTCATCCGTCTTCCTCCTTACCAGTACCTGCATGTGCTGGATACGAATATCAACGTCACTCGCGTGCTCTCTGGACCGCAGACGTACACCCGTCAAGACCACGAGAAGATCGTTGCGGGGCCAAACCCGATGCTCATCGTGCCGCCTCAAAGCTTTGTGGTCGTGGCCAACCCCGTGTTGAAAGATGCTTCCGGTACTGTACTCGTGTTGTTCCATTGTCCTTATGCAATCAAACTCTGTATGTAGGCCACGTGGTGGTGGACCAGTACGGCCAAGCCAAGCTCCGCCACGGCGAGCGCGAGATTCGTATCGCGACGGCGTACCCGGACCCATTCCCGTTGTACTTTGGCGAAGTCCAAGTGGGGTCCGTGGACAAACTGACCGTGTTGGACGCGAATTCAGCGCTGCGACTTCGCGCCAACCGCGATTTTGACGCGCACGTAGCTGGAGACGAGTGGCAGTTTGTCGGCCCCGCCACGTACATTCCTCGGGTGGAAGAGGACGTGATCGGGTCGATCTCAGCGACCGTCGTCAAGACGAACGAAGCGCTCAAGCTCCGCGCCGACAAGAAGTGCGTCGACTGCTTTGGGTTGCCTCGGGAAGCGGGCGAGGAGTGGCTCGTGCGCAGCCCTGGCATGTACCTCCCCCGCGTGGACGAGCGCATCGTGGGCATCGTGCACGCCACAATTCTAACCGACAAGACGTCGCTGTTTCTGCGAGCGCTGCGGACGTTCAAGGACGTGTACAACGTCCAGCGCAAGGCGGGCGAGGAGTGGCTCGTCACTTCCAAGATGGCAGAAACACATGTCCAGGACGTGCACGAAGCCATCGTCGGCCCCGTACAGATCACGACGCTGACCAATCGCCAGTACTGCGTGGTCATTGACCCCGTCGTGAACGGCGTGCATATGCTCGGGACGCGGGAGCTGCGCAAGGGTGAAACCAGCTTCTTCCTCCAGCCCGGCGAGAGCTTAGAGGGCGAACGGGGCATTCAAAACGTGTGCTTGCTGGCACACGACGAAGCTGTGCTCGTACAAGCGAATGAGCGATTTGTGGATGAAACCACCGCCGACGTCCGGGAAGCAGGGGTCAAATGGATGGTCTACGGGCCGTGTGAGTACATCCCGCCCATTTCTGTCAAAGTGCTCGAGATCCGCCAAGCGATTCCCCTCGACAAGAACGAAGGTAAACAAACACAATACAACACATGCACAAATACATGTATATTTCTTTCATCACCCACAATGTATATATATATATATATATTTGTATTGCTTTCTACACACACAAATGTAGAGTATGTATTATATATATATATATAACGGTACAAAAGTAATACGTAGTATGTATTTATATATATATATATACCTTGAAGTATTTTTTCTTGATACGTACACAAATATATATAATTCTTTGTACACAAATATCTATATATCTTTCTTTGTTCACACATATATATATATATATATATATATATATATATATATCAGTATAGTCCTGTTCACATACATATTTATGTTATGCTTATTCCTAGTATGGTCCTTCAGAAACAAAATATCGCTACCCAACCACGAGAACTAGTACTACGTAGTGTGTGTATATTATTGTAGGCATTTACGTCCGCGATACCAAGAGCGGCAACGTCCGCGCGGTCACTGGCGCCACGTACATGCTCCAGCCGACGGAAGAATTGTGGGCCAAACACATGGGCGACGAGATCGAAGAGCTGCTTCAGATGGATTCGTATGTGGACGACACGGCGCCCTTGTCAGCGGCTGCCACGTCACGAGACCCCACGCGAGTGGTGACGTTTGAAGTGCCGCACAATACAGCCATTCAGGTGTACGATTACTCGTCGACCATGTCCCGCATCATGTTTGGGCCGACTCTGGTGATGCTCAACCCCGAAGAACAATTTACAGTCATCAAACTGTCGGGCAATGTGCCCAAAACCCCCAAAGCCATCAAAACGTTGTGTCTCCAGCTTGGCCCTGATTTTATGCGTGACCAGGTATACGTGTATTTGAATTCTCGTGACGTGGTCGTACGTGTTAGCTACAGATTTATATACATCTATAGAAATACTTTAAATAGATTTTTTAGTAAATTATAAACACTCGTGACGTGGTCGTACGTGTTAGTTACAGATTTATATATATAGATATATATTGAAATACTTTAAATAGATTGTTTAGTAAATTATATACATTTCAAAACGTTAAATTTATTGAATCAATTTATTTTTTAATCAAGTAGGAGTTTTAAAACTGAATGTACATGTACCTAGTACGACATGTTTACTACGTAGTACCTAGTATGACTTTTTTGCGTCCATTGTGACAAAGAAATATGTATTTGTATATATATATATATATATATATATGTATATATTGAAATTGCTGGAAAAATCGAGGTACTTATACTACTATATGTCGTCAATTCATGTCCTTCCAGTTGCTGTCCAGCTACAAATAAACTAGTATATATTTAAATTTCTGTATATGACATGTCGTCACATGAATTTCTGTCTGTGTATTCTATAAAATGTTTGATGGATACTAGTATTCTCCAAGGCTGAAATGAATGAGGATGTATAGTATATTATACACATATTGAGCAACAGTCATGCGTAGATCACCGTGGAAACCTCCGACCACGCCCGACTACGTCTCACAATTGCGTATAATTGGCACTTTGACGTGGGAAATCGCGATCAAGCGACGGCGGCGCGCATTTTTTCTGTGCGCGACTTTGTGGGCGACGCTTGTAAAACGCTGGCCAGTCGGATTCGCGGCGCCGTGGCTGTGGAAACGTTTGATCATTTTCATAAACACAGTGGTATGCCAAATATATATATATATATATGATACATTGATTGATTGATAATATATATATATATGATTGATTGATTATATATATATATATATATGATTGATTGATAATATATATATATATATATGATTGATTGATAATATATATATATATATGTTTGATTGATTGGTGGAAACGTTTGATCATTTTCATAAGCACAGTGATATGCCAAATATATATATATATATATGATACATTGATTGATTGATAATATATATATATATATGATGGATTGATTGATAATATATATATATGTGATTGATTGATTGATAATATATATATATATATGATTGATTGATTGGTGGAAACGTTTGATCATTTTCATAAACATAGCGGTATGACAAATATATATATATATATATATGTATGATTGATTTGGTACTGGACCCAGGAACCAATCGAATCACCCAACCAATCACGACTCGTTCCCATTGGTCCGTTAGAAATTCCTTGTCGCGGATTGGTTACATTCTTTTCTTTTTTCTTTTACTTCGTGAAAATCGGGAACGCCAATGACACAAGTCGCGGCGGTGACGTTTGTGATCGGGTTTACGAATCATATATCGAGGGGACTTGAGATATGTGTAGCACATGCATTATATACATATATATATTATGCATGTGCTACAAATATCTCAATATATATCGACACATTGTTTTTGCCCTATCGTTGTTTTCAAATCAGGCGGATGGGTTGGTAATACAAATATTAATCATAGCCCAAATCATCCGGACATCGATCTTTGGGTTGGACGACGCAGCGAGTGGGAAATTAAAAGCCCAGCTGGTATTTCCTGCGAACAACTTGTGCATTACGAACGTGGACATTCAGAGCGCCGAGCCCGTGGACGTGCAAACGCGCGACAGTTTGCAAAAGTCGGTTCAGTTGGCGATTGAAATCACGACCAAGTCCCAGGAAGCCAAAGCCAAGGCGATTGCAATGAAGGAAGACGAGGAGGCTAAGGGACTGTTGGTGACCCAGCAGCTGGAGAACCAGACGAACGCAGAGAAGGCGCGTAAGCAGCTCGTGGAGCTCAGCGCCCAGTGCGCCGCCGTGGAGGCGGAGGGTGTAGCCGTAGCCCAAGCCAAAGCCAAAGCTCTAGCCGCGGAAATCGACGCCGAGGCCGCCGTGTCGCAGACTAAATTACGCATGCAAGCGCAGCAGATGGAGCACGATAGCAACATGTTACGTCGAAAGCAAGAATATGAGCTGGAGGTGGCACATGCCAAGCAAATGGCCGAGCTCGAGGTGGCCAAGAAGAAGCAACTGATGAGTATAGAAGCCGACAAGTTCAAGTGTATGATGGATGCAATTGGGCGGGATACGATGGTGGCCATGGCAAGAGTGGGTCCGGACGCCCAAGTCAAATTGCTAAGTGCACTGGGACTCCAGGGATATTTGATCACGGACGGAAAGAGCCCCGTGAATTTACTCACCACGGCCCAAGATATGATCAAAAACATCACTACCACCACCGCCACTGCGACCAACGAGTAGAAGTAGTACTATACCAACCGATTTGACCCAGAATGATTATAAATAGAATCAAACAGTGTCTTTTGTACTGTACTGGAAATACTATTGTGCTTTTCACCCCTAATCCGTACAGTGAATTAGGATCACGTTTCGTTACAGAATGTAATTATAGGGAGGTCATTTATGCAACTCCCTCGCTTTTGCACATTTGAAAAGTGCAAATCGAAGTTATATCTGCTATTCTCGGGACCAAATTCACAATTCACTGGTCATCATAAACAACTTTTGATAATACAAATGACACACAGCGAAGACATGACATGCGCCTGTGTTCTACCGTACAGCGATGTACGTATGGTGCCACATCGTAGAAAACCACGCCATCTTCTTGTTCCATCGCATAGTACATGCAGGTAGCGCGTACTACGCGATGGAATAACAGCCAAGGTGTTTTGGTCACTTCAGCATCACATGTGATTATTATTGCTCAGAGTTATTAGGTAGTTATAAAACCCCAGTGAATTAGCTAAAACACCAGGTATTTATTCAACTTTGTAACACAGTTACAGCAGAAGTACCACTCTTTTAGCCACGTAAAACCGACGCCAAAACAAGTGCAAAGCACAATAGTAAACAACATCCGCATCGCGTAGTGAATAATAATAATAAAAAATATAGCAAGTTGTTGCTGTTTGATAGTATTATACGTACACTGAACCGTCTAACTGGATGATTGATTGATTACTACTTGACGATAGAAAGAGGTAACTAACATGAAAATGTACTGTATGTATATATCGCGTGCTACGAACCACACCGCCGCGCCACTCTAGCTCTGGATGTCACACATCTCCCCTGATTAGAAATCAAAGTTAGACTAGTATTATTCTTTTATAAACTGTCCTAGTTTCGTACATGCAGGTAGGTAGGTATAAAGTCTCTCCACCCAGTACAAAGGAACCGCCAACGAAAATATGAGTCGCTATTATTCGTTTGATCAACGCCATTCATTGGCTTTCGACGCTCCAACATGCCACAGTAGTCACAGCTTCAGTTTGCAATTCAAATCCAAGTCTCAACAACAACATTGCACCACGCTACCCAGCTTATCACAAACAGACTCGACGGCATCCACCAACACCACTATTACGACATCGTCTACTAGTAGTCGACACGCAATTAGAAGCACCGTCAAGCCTACGAGAGCTTAGATGGCGATCAAAAAAGAAATGCAGAGCCCCCACGGCGCAAGTCGCTCCATAGGTCAAGGACTGCAGCGTCATCAGCGTACAACATGCGACTTATCAACGACAAGAGTAGATAGGGACGCAGGGTGGTGCCGTGATCATCAAAGATGAACTCCTGGATGCAACAAGTGACTATGAACTACAACAGAACGAAGAGCGACGGCGAGTGGAGATTTCGATACTGCACCAAACACAAGGGGCAGCATACTACTGTATTGCTACAAGAGGTGACGAAGTGGGGGGGTTCTAGAGGGCGAACCGCGCGCAATGCTCTACGGGAGTAGATTGATTGATCACTGACAAAAAGCGGCGGCCGCCTCCCCTTTCAACTCTTGAGGTCGTCTATGCAATCATCCACCGACTCCATACCAACATCGACATCTCGACCACCATTATCGCACACAATGGGCTCAAGGGATGGTTATCGGGGGGGGCTGTAATTTGTGACGGTGTACACTTCGACGTACAGTACGTCGTCTTGGCCGGCAAGGTCCTTGATGGTCAGAGGGGACACTTCACGAGTACTGATACATAATCAAGCCACCTTACAAGATTCTACTCTGCGAGGTACGAAGCGTGTATATTCAACAAGGTGGGTCACATGAACAACGCTCTCATTATCAAACTGTTTATTCGGTATACACAATGTGCCAGCTCGACACTTGGACATCTGACTGGACTGCCACGAGGGGGTACGTATATCGCTCCTAGTACATGTTAGGACGCGCGACGAGTGAACCGGTGCCGTTTGGCGAAGCGCAGGAGCAGTCTACGGAGTGAATCGTTGGCCACTGCCGCGCTTTTCTTGGTTCCCATGTACCCGGCAAGCCACTCTGCCTGGTTCTCCTTGACCCAATCCACGAGATGCAGCACTTGAAGTGGCTTCTCGCCACTCCGACTGTCTTGCATGAACTTGAGCAGCTCGTCCTTGAACGGAATCATCGACTTGTGTCCTTGACCACCCGTTGTGGCATGCTTGTTGCCTCGCTTGCTGGCCATGATCTTGTCCTCCCTGGCCTTCCACCCCTGCCATGTCGAGTACGGCACGTTCTTCTCAATACAGAACTTCCGTTGGCTCGTGGCGTTCGATGTCTTGAACTCTTCTAACAGGGCTTTCCGTATTCCATTCGTGAAGCGGCGGTGCTGGCGCGGCCTGGCCGCGGCAACGGCCTTGCTTTGACTCTTGCTGCCAGAGTTCATGGGCAAGCGAATTTTGATGTCGAGGTTTGAATTCAGCCAATCATCGTGTGAGCACATGGCGAGGCTAGCCAATCAACACTCGTTTCGTTGTACTACCAACATTCAGATCTTAGGCAATAATATTGTGTGACTACCATGATTCCAGAAATATTAGGCCATATGAATACTCTGGAAATATATTTTCGTCACACTATATTAAGGTATTCTGAATATAGTGTGAGAAACGTTTGTCATGCTCTGTAAAGTTCGATCTTGACTTGGACCAGTCATTTTCGATTGCAATGTTGCGCAGCGTGTTGCTTCGTGGAGTGGCGGCGGCGTCGTCCCGCAAAGCGGCGGCGGCGATGACCGTGATGCGACCCTCGTCCATGCGCTCGTTCTCGTCCGACAACAGTGACGACAACGACTCCAAGAAGTCGACGACGTCGCGATTCCTCAAACTCGCCGATCAAATCGAAGTGTCCGACCAGTTGGCGCCAGGTGAGGAGGAAGTGGAGCTTCCGAACGGATACGAAGAAGAGTTCTTCATCGACTTGAACCCTGGGGGAGTCGGTTTGGACGAACAGGACAACATCCGCATCTTCGACCAGTACATGTCGAACCCGTTGGTGTTTACGATCCACAAGCTCGCGACAGACAACCGAGTGTCCGTGGAGCGCATTGAAGCGACGATCGTGTTCCAGGGCATCGAGCGCGGTAAAGTCGTCCTTCCCGCACGATCAGGAACATTATTCGTCGTCCTCATCGTGTTGTACAGGTCTGTCGATTGCCGAGTTGCGCGAAAAGGTGTTCAACATCAAGGAAGCAAAGCAGGCCGAGATCGCCGAGGGCATCAAGAACCCCGTGGCATCGCTCAAGGGTTCCAAGGGCAAGAAGGGCAGCGAGGGCAGCAGCAACTACATCAACACGACGCGATCGTTCCACGACGAAGACGAAGAAGTGTCGTTGCTGTCCAACGAAGAGTACGAAGAAGCCAACAAACCCGACCGGTTGCGCGAGCCCAACTTTCTCTTCCTGCGAGACGACATGATGGACGAACTGCCGCCCCTCCACCGCCAATTCCGCAAGCAAAAGGGCACGGACCAACTGACCGTCGCGGAAGCTATCGCGCTCCAGCGCGGCGCCGAGAACAACAAGGTGACGCTGCTCCCGAGCTTCGCCAAGGGACTCAACCCCACGGGCAAGTGGAAGATCGCGATCAAGGACATCTCGACCAAGAAGGCGCCGCTGTACATGCGCGACGTCGACGGCAGCTACCGCCTCGCGTCCGACGACGAAGTGGCCAAGCGCACATGGGTGAAGCGACCTCCGTTCTTCCAAGGCATCGAACGATATGTTTAAGCATCTTATTGGACCGATCATCACACCCCGATTAATTAGACACAACAGAGGACTGTACCATGGTCAAAATACATTGCGTTATTGCTAAGTTAGTATAGTATCGTTCGAGTAATATTCATACTAGTATGGCATGCCTATGAAGGGATGGTAGATGTGTATGTAAGTACAAGAGGAAAATCCCCTCGGGTCCTTGTGTCAAACGGGCTCAAATGTGGGCCGACGCTTTGTCGTTGATCTGTCCTGTGAATATATATATATATAAATATATAACGCCGAGTTGCAATTTAAACAATTTAAGGGACATCGGATTCAGCCAATCACCATCCTTGAAATATGATGTTGATTTAGGGGCTGGTCGGGGAAGATAAAGTCCATGTCCGAAACTGAGACGTATCCGGACAAAATATTTTCGCAATCCAAAAAATGTCGATCAATACTTTTTCGTTTTTTATGAAAATGAGTCCCAGACATGAACGGACTATTCCAGGCGTCGATGGACCATTCACGCCTCAAAACTCGCATCCATGTCTGAGTTATTCCGGAAGCGTGAATGATTGTGTTATCCGGATAATTTGGGTACTAACCAATCAAAATCTCGGAATATCTTGAAACATGGACAGAAAAAATATTGCAAGCAGTTTCAGATTTATTGTAAACTGACCAAATGTAATAAAAGAATCGGCAGAAGGATTTAGCCAATCAGATTGCAGGAAACCAGCATCAACGTTGAATTAGTGTGGTACCAATCACCACAGGACAACTTTTTGCATACAAAATTCCGTAAGGTAACGCATCAATCATCCGAACGGTTTTTGAAGCAGATATTGTTGAATTTTTAAAGTCTGAGTGCTTGCGATTGCCATTGAATCATAATGACCTTTTAGCATAGAATGAAAATATAATTCAAGAACTATATTTTACATATGAAGCAACTGCGATTTTGGCATGATTTGATATTTGTAGGCAAATTAATATGACATGATGAATTTTAACGTGCACATACTCCCCGAACGGTTTCAAACATCAGGAGCTTCGTATGCATTGAATTATAAAACGAATTAAAATTCGATTCTATATAATACTATCATCCTACACTGGATTCATAGCTTCGTTAATCAAATTTGGATCAAATTTAAAAACAACGAGTAAAGAACCGCTTTTGCCGTTTCGATGCGGCCGCATGAAGGTCCTTGATGGAATGCCACTCGACGTTTGTCTTGACGCGCCCTTGTCTTGATCCACGATTCCGTCCCAACGGAGTCCTCGATTCCATTCGCTTTTTGCATGTCCAGGCGAGCCAACATGCAAGGCAACGACATCAGCCACACACCACAGGTACAAAATCCATTTTGAACCAATGTGGGGATCATACCGGTACAACAAAGAATCGATCGATAGATTTGGCGATTCAGCACAAACGTCCACGTTTTGGGTTAATAAAGTACAATATTAATACTATTAATACCGGCAGTAGTATTATTAATCCCTCGAAGTCCACATTTTGGGTTAAAGGACAATATTAATACATACTGTAAGTAGTACTACCTTGAAGCATTAATAGTACTTAACTGCTGTGAAGTATGCTTGAGGGAATTTAATACACCAAAGTTTGCCTAAATATTGCTGTACAGTACATATCCAATCAGAATGATGTATTTCAAACCGGTTAGTTTGATTTGTCAAAATAATTGAAGTTGACCAATCAGATTTCAACGTTTAAACTCTACTTCGATTCAAAGTGTGGCTTAAATTACCTCTCCAACCTACGAACCGAATGCATAATATCCACCCGTATTCGTCGTAACGTTACCTGTACATACCCGTGCGTTTGGGCAAAATGAATCCTTATTTTTCAAATCCAAGTCGGATTTAGTCATTATTTTCTTAATCGTTTCGTCTTGAATGAAAAATGATGAATCCCCAGTTTTGAAGGCTAAACGTGAATGGTGATAGACTTAACGTGCGGATCAGTGATTTGCCGATTTTGAGCTCCATTCAATCGACCATATCTGGCGAAGTTCAAATTATCTCGACGTGAAAGTTGCAGTGCCGAACTCACCTTTTTGAGCTTTATCTCATCATCCGAATACAAATCAAGTGTAATGAATCAGGGCAAATAAAATGTCAAAGTTAGGCGCTCAAACAGGCGATCGGTGCTTTGCCGAAATTTAACCTTGCATTCAGAATGGGAATAAATTATTGATTTATAGAGCAATATTATATGTATGCAGTAATAATATTTTACAGGTCATACTTGATGGTCCCATCATAAATTTTGAAGGTATCAGTTGTTGCAGGCTTTTATTTTATCCAATCATATCAATTCTTGAATTATATTGGGTAATGCAGCTTTGAAAATCACCCATCTTTCGGCAAATCACAGATCCGTCACGTTATATGCCTTCGCGACATGGATAATCCAAGCATTTGCTTGGGTTGGATTGGCACGTATTGAAAATAAAACAGCTCGAATTGTTAAAAACTTGCAAAGAGAAAATTTACTATGGTTAGTACTCGACTTTCAGAACTCCCGCTCGCATTATTATTAATTTTGCCCTGAGTGCAGAACTATTTTTATTTTATTTAAATTTCGCTGTTCTGAGTATATCAAATTTCGATATGTATTTTAATATCCCGTTGTAATGATAATAAAACCCCTCACCTGATGAACGGACTCCTCCTCTATTCCTGTATACCTTCAGATCTGAAAAGTGATACTGGGGAAAACGTTATGGAAGAATTAACCAATACTACTGTGGTACATTCGTTTTGCCAAAAGCACGGTATATTTGAATTAGGGTTCGTCTGGTAACCGGAAATATTGCAATATTCAGGCCCAAAGCGCCATTTTAGGGCCGAATTTAACAAATCTGACCAAAATTGAAAGATGTCTTGCTTGCAGAGGTTAACCCAAATCCAATAATTCCACGTGGGATTTACTCGTTGAAGAGGTCCAAAACTCCACATTACAAAATGGACCTTTTACCTCCATTTTGAAAATGGCATTTTGGTTAATCCCATTTTGCGAGAAAATGGAATATTATTTTTGGAATGTTACCAGACGTACCCTTAACATTTTGTAAATTTGAACCATATATCTCAATATACATCTCTGAAATCTCCCTCTACTTCAACTACTTGATTTCATATGAGTTTTGCAGTGAATCCCCGGTTTTTGCAGCATGTATAAATTTAGATCCTGATCAACATATATTTAAATGCATTGAGAACAGGAGACTGAAGAATCGATACAGCTTATAGCCAATACAGCGCAAATAGAGTCAAACATTTCGACCTCACTAACGTGGACACTTCATTTTCATTCCACGAACGCCTCCAAGTGTGCAAAGACCAGCAAAGGGAGATGAGGGAAATATGGTATTCAAATGGCATTCTACGAATTAATCCTTTTGAGTGAAGAAATCATTGTGCTGCACTTGGTAGTTGCCCTGTCGAACGAGGAATTAGTATTTGTCGCCGACGCTTGTTGGTTTACAAATGTAATCGGTTATCCGAAATATACGGATAAAACTAGTATCTACTATATACTAGCAACATACTAGCAAACATTCATGAAGATTCACGAATATTCGAATCTTCGCCGAATTCAAAATTTGCGATCTTCGAGCGAGGATATCGCCACTAATAGTAACCCATCCGCTCTGATTTGAATGGATCTTGTTCGACCGCACTATCAGCATACCGCTATATATAAATTCTTTGAAATGTAGATGGATGTAGGCTGTTGAATCTGACATCCAAAACACGAATTCAGAGCAAAAAACGACGAATTCGTTGTTTTGGACTCCCCATCATTGGTTCCAATCAGCATTCGTTTCGAATTGCAACATGATATCTCAACCCTGTGCTGTGAAGAATATGCTGGCGCAATATCGTCATTGAAACGTCCGTACTTGCGGATTTATCGTCCTTTCTACAAGGGCATTCGGGATCTACAAATGGTATTCGCCATAATGCATAATGTGTAATCATTCGAATTGGTGGATGATATCTGTCCCCAGTATAAGAGTATCCCCACCGGTGCGACTGTAAACGCTATTTTACAGTTCTATCCGGATTATTTACAGTTTTGACAACCCCACCGGGCGACTGTAAAATACAGGAAACTGTAAAATTTTACCGCGAGACGGCAAATCGGCCAGATTTACAGTCGCGACTGTAAAATACAGTTTTGACGAATTAGCCAATAACATGCTATCAATGGATAATTTTATCCAATCATGTGCGTTATGGAGTCAACAAACAGTAGGTTCAGAAATGGAATCAGCCAAGGCCGTCCGTGGCTCCAACTTAACGAGTCCAAGGGTAGTACTCATCACGCATCACCACACCGTCCATGATTCGTTGAAACAGCGGTATGGCCATTCGAAAACGACGGCGAAACTTGGCTTCGCCGTAGATTGGATTGGGGCCAAAGTACTACGTAAATCCGAGCATGCGCAGCCTCGCTATCTCGTGGTAGGTTTGGCTGGCGGTTGGCAGTAGAGCATTTAGGGCGCAGAAGACTGATGAAAGCCAAGAATCTCCCAAGCTTGATCCATGTCATCATCGTCGTTCTCCCACGCCATCGCGCCAGGCGTTCATTTCCGGATAATAACATTATTCGGATGTTTTACAGTTTTACCGCTGGGGTTGACGAAAATCAAAATACAGGAACTGTAAAACGGTATTTTACAGTCTGATTATACAGTCGCACCGGTGGGGATGCCCTAACGAGAGGACAGAAGTGCTTGGATGGGCAAATACAGTATCGACATAAAAAAAATTCGTTAACCTAAGTCGACCGTAGTTCTGACTATATTTCCACGTATTTCAAGTTTTTGTGCCGCAGCAGAATATAAATATATTTGTCACGGCACGTGATAGTGTCTGAATCACAAATAACGTTATTTAAAAAATGTGTCTGCAGCATACTGCATGACTCCAAACCAAAAATAGTACTTTTCTCTCACCATAACCGGCTTATGGTCATCTACACCACTTCCCGTTCAAGTTGAAATGAATTTCCAGTCAATGTGAAATGCAGAAATATGATAAGATTTCACAAGTGCAGTTTCACATCTCAACATGAAGAATGTTCACTTCAAAATGAAACGTTAAACTTACTTCAACTACAGTATAGTAACCATAAGGTGATGAATTATACTACCCTTCAGTATACAATAGTGATTCAATCATCATGTCTACCCTCCCTCACCCATCTTCCTCCTTTATCCAAATCATACACCAGGATATATATGAAACAAAGTATGTTTCAAGTTGAATGTTAGAGAATTCATGTTGATTTGAAAATCGTCGTGGATCGAACGTGTTCATTTCACATTGACTGGAAATTCATTTCAACTTGAACGGGAAGTGGTGTAGTAGTTTGACATTCTCTGTAGTAAGAAGTTACTAGCACTTTTATTTTACTTATTTTACTTCACTAAAAAATTGTATTCGTTTTGTGTCTTAAAATATGGACTGTTGACATCCACATCACAACTATCCGGATAAGTCAGCAAGTAAAGGGTCCGTCTACGGAATTCGTAGGCCAGAACTTGACTTTGTATGCAATCGTAGGCGCACACCCCTACGATTTCACCATTTCGAAATCCTCAACCTCAATTTTTTTCCAAGCTATATGCGAATTTGTAGCAAACATAAAATTTCGCAATTCATTTGTGAATTGACGAAATCGTAGGGAGCTGGTCCTACGATTTTCATATCCAATGAGATCTCAAGAAAAACACAAATTGCTGGACTCCAATTGACCAATCCTCCTCTATTTTACAGGTCACGTGCCAAAGGGGAATGTGAGGCTTCCTAGTGGTACAGTAATGCCATTGATAGCACTAGGTATGTATCGTTAGCAGTACGCAAGTTAGGCTGCGTTGTATTAGTACGTAGTAGGAAGGAGCGATCGTTATGGGAGAGTTAAAGTAATCTGTTGACAGTCGAGCTGGACGCGTTTGTGAATCAAGACTTTATGGAAATTCTTGTGTGGGCCATAAGCACACAAGACCCGTAAGTATATCTCTGTTATGAAGCAATCATTTGGTTCTAAGTTTTGATCCGGTAAAACAGCATGCGAATCTATCGAATACTAGTACCATGTTTCCCTCATCTCCAAGCACCAAAAAGTCCAGTAATAAGTTCTAACTTTACGTACTTAAATTGTATAATTATGAAGAGCGTTTATCAAAAGGTGGCAGGTATTTGCTGGCTTAATGTTAGGAAATGCACACCAAATGTCAAGGAATTGCCCTATATACTTCCCAAATATCGGGTGTATGGCGTCACGAACTACTCCCATAACCTTGGACATGCATTTTATGGTACTGTATACAATTGTGCTTCAAACTGCCCAGTCCAAATTTAGGTGAAAAGGACTATTACTTACTTCGAAGTATGATTGATCACCTTGCAGACACGTTTCGATGGTCGGCCGAGCATGATTACCCAATATAAATACAGATTTCATTTGATTGGATAAACTAGATCAGAAGGAATACCATTAACGTTATTATCTTTGGGTCATATTTCCGTCCAATATACCTACTAGTACTTCGAGGCAAAATACTACGCTGCATACTACGTAGTATTTGTCCTCTGTAAATAAGGGTTTTTGAGCATTCAACACCACAATATTCGATAGTTTAATCAAGTATATGAATCGACGATCATGGATGTACAGACACTGTTTGAGTCGCCTATTTCCATACCTCGTAAATTATTTGCCCAAGTTCGAACGCTTTAAACTGATTTGTAAGTACCGGTACCAGTAAATCATTAAATAGAGGAGGATGAATCAGGGATTCCGAAAACACAACTTTCATGAAGTGGCAACTTAAACTGAACGAGTTGTGCTCATATGAAGGGAAGTCAAGTTCGGCAGATCAATGAGAGGTCACGTTAGAAGAACTACGTGCCGCTCTGCAAGAAAGTGGACTTCACAATCGTATAGACGCCCCACGAGGATCTTGTAGGTACATTGAGTACAGTGGTTTGTTAACGTTAGTACAGTTCTATGATAGATGAAAGGCGAATTGCTCCTAGCAAGATGGGTATACATCAAGCTTGGTACACAACCATGTTGAAGATCCTAGTAACTACCTAGAGTACTATTAATACGTGGTACTTCCGTACTACTCCGGAGTACAGTACTACAGTACGTACGAGTATGTTTACGAAGTACTAGTAGTTCAAGTACTTGCGGCAACTACTTCAAGTACAAGGTCAAGAGATATATCGAATCCAAGTTGTGGTTGCAATGGCACGCGATGGCACTTGCGACATTGAACAATACCCAAGGCGAATTTGAACTAACAGTTAACTCAAGCGACTTTCTTGTCCATATCTCTTCGCCAGTGACTAACTAAACCACCCTTTGGTGTACGTACATAATGCATGTTCCATCCACCGCCAATGTCCTTGCAGCTACCATGCCGTGTTCTTGTCCATGAATTCAATATGCATTTCAACTTCAGTCGTTATACTACTAAGATTTACTACGTACTAGTAATAAGCTTACAGTACACCACCATATAATACCCGATCAAGTTGGACACGTTCACAAGCGAACAAAAGTGCTAAGTACAGTAGTACTATGAATAGGTAACGTCATACAGAGTAGTACTACGTAGTATATATCATCAGGCAGGCACGACAACTCTGGGCTACTAGTAAACGAATGGACGACGACCTCGATCAAATCTTCAACGATCATCCCCACGTACTACCGTATTTGCACCATGGAATTAAATTTGAAGAATTTATTTAAATATTCGAATTGTATAATTGATTCAAGATTGTATTGAATTATAGAATTATATTCGCGTTTTGTATTTCATGATGCAGATCAACGACAAATACGGTAGATATTAATAGTAATTAGTATACGTAAAGAATTCACGTAACGTTAGGTACGTACTAGTTAGTATATGCACACCAAAGAGACGTCACCGAGGGGTGGTGCCCATGAAACTAGTCCTACTATCAAGTGCAACATTGCACTGGCAGGCACTATATATTCCTTACAGTATGACAACATATATATATATATATATATGTAGTACACAACTTTTTTCATTGCTGAATTTGCCATGGCTAGTACTTCCGACCACC